TTCGCTTTCCTCATTGTTAAGTAAGTGGAAGAAGTAGAATTTATTCAGTTTCTAGTCGCACAAATGAGTTTTGAACTAGTGCTGGTTAGTAAATGCTTCATAGAGTGACTTGACTGCATAAATTTTCTTTTTAGACGTATTGGCAGATGTTGTATACTCATAGATAAAACGAATCCCGATCAATCATTTTTTTATTTTACATTTTCGCAACTTTTTCGCCCATAGTTATTTAAATGAAATTTCGATCGTAATTATTTATATGTCATCAGATATGTTTACCAGCCTCACGTTTTTACATTAAGCAAAAACAGTTTTGCAGCCTATTTTCTGGTTTGAACATCCACGTTTAGTCAAGTTTGACTTGCGAAAATATTCTCCATTTGTATTCATTCTGATATTTTCAATTTAGGCATATCCGGATGAGGAACCTTAAAGGATATGACAAGCGAAGACTAATGACATTGCTGCTCAGAAACCTGGAGAATGTCGAGGTTTATGGCGATGATTTGGTCGTATATAGTCGTACAGAGGCAGAACATGTGAGGCACGTGGAGGCGGTCCTAAGGCGAATTGATGAGTTTGGTTTACGAATTAACAAAGACAAGTCTCAGATAGCGAAAAGAAGCGTCACGTTGCTGGGGCATAAAGTAGGCAATGGAGAAATAAAACCACTGCCGGAGAAGATTCTAACGATAAAGAATATTGCAGTTCCCAACTCAAAAAGGAAGTTAAGACAGTTCCTGGGAAGAGCGGCGTTCTACAGCAGATTCGTGAAGAACTTCAACGATATAGCAGCACCTCTATATAAAGTGCTAAGCAATGCGAAGTTTACGTGGACAGAGACCGCTCAACAAACTTTCGACCGAATCAAAGAGCTGTTAGATGACCGCCAAATGACGCTGAGACTGCCGGAACCCGAGAAGCCATTTACAGTGACCACTGATGCGAGCGATCACGGTATAGGTGCGGTCTTGAGGCAGTCTGACAGAGTGGTGGAGTATGCCAGCCGTGTCCTTACGCCGACAGAACAGAAGTATTCCACAGTAGAAAAAGAGTGTTTAGCGATTGTATGGGCGGTAGACAAATGGAGACCGTATCTACTGGGTCGGCGATTTCACATCGAGACGGATCATAAGCCCCTACAATGGTTGAAAACAGCAAAAGACCCTCGGGGGAAGTTGGCTCGATGGATGCTACGTCTGCAGGAGTATGATTTTAGCATCGGGCATGTGCCAGGGGAGGAAAATGTAATGGCAGATTATTTGTCAAGACCGGACACCGAAGCCGAACTTCCAGAGATAGCGTGTGCAGTTAACGGCCTAGAGGGAGATCCCCTAGAACTCGTCCGGCATCAGAAAGCCGACCCTAACCTTCGGGAGGTAATCAGAGTGATAAAAGAGGGAGAAGATGTTGACAAGAGTGGAACAGATAAAGAATTAACAGTGTTGCTGAGGCAGAAGGAGAGACTGAGAGTGAACGGATACGGAGCCTTGACCTGGCGGGATGATGACGAGAATTGGGTAGCAATAATCCCAAAAGATCTGCGCCAGGAGATGATTCGTGAATGTCACCAGGTAGCGCACACAGGTATTGCACGGACAACTGATTTGCTGCGACAAAGTGCGTACTGGCCAGGTATGAGAGACGATGTTGCACGATATGTATTAGCGTGCCAGCGATGTCAACTAATGAAAGGGGATCGATGCATACGACCGCCATTGCAGTCAATTCCAGTAACAGCAGTTGGTGATTTGTGGTCAGTAGATATTATGGGACCGTTCCCACAGACGACAAGTGGTAACCAGTACCTGCTGGTGATGACTGAGCATGCCACACGATGGGTAAATGCCGTGCCGATGGCGGACCAACGTGCAAGGACGGTGACGGAAGCGGTAATGCGGCACATTGTGGCTGACCATGGGATACCAAAGATAATATTAACCGATCAAGGTCCCTGTTTCGAGAGTGATGAGTTCAAGTCCCGTCTAAAGCAGTTAGGTATCAAGAGAGTACGAACAACGCCGTATCATCCACAGACGAATGGGTTAACGGAAAGGAATAACCGAACGCTAAAGGAATGGCTAGCATCTAAAGGGGGTGACTGGGAGAAAGAATTACCATTAATCTTGCTGGCACATCGTGCCTCGGCACAGGGAACAACCAGGAAGTCACCGTTCCAGCTGATGTATGGCAGACGGCCGAGACTACCAACGCATGATAAAACCTGGCCGCAACAACAGAGGTGGAATACAACAAGACTGAGAACAGAGCGGAGACAAGCAATCAGGAATGTGAGAGAGAAACAAACATCAGACATGCAGAAGTCAGAACAGGAGAGAAAGAACTGGAGACCGTTTGAAGTGGGAGACCAAGTGAAGTGTAGAGAACGGAAATGTACCACAGGAAGAGGGCCAGGGTCAGGCAAGCTGATCCCGAAGTGGGAGGGACCGTACGTAGTAACCGAGAGGCGCGGCGCAGTGTATACGATCCAGAAAGGAAACAAACAGAAACGCGTGAATGCCAGTGAACTCCAAAGGTGGTTCCAAGTGCGCCAAGAGGGCGAGCCACAAACACTGATAAAGAAGACGGCTGTACGGAGATCAGAAAGGCTGAGAGAGCGACTTGTTAAAGGGGGGACGAGTGTGGTGTGTGCTACTTATACGAACGATATAAGTAGTATAAGAATGGACGTGAAAGAAGAAGTCTTACGGTCAGAAGAGGAAAACGGAAAGCAAATAGAGCAAAAGCAAGAAAGAAATAGAGCACCGACAGGAAGTAAAGGAAGCAACAGCAGGAATGGAAGAAGGCTGGAGCGTTGGAAGTCAGGACTCAAAGATGGTGTGCAAATGGAGTGTTCAATGTAATGTTATCGTTTTTAATTGACTAAGAGTGTAAATTTGCCAAATACAATCTATTGAGCCTGCCTCAGTCTTCTCAACACTACTAAAAGTAAACTTGCAGTATTCTAGAAGCAGTTGAACACAGTTTGTACAATAAAATGTAGTGACTCATTCAGCTTCAAGCTCACATGACTCGTTTCATTTGTCCTATGACTTAGTCAATTATTCGTCGCTTTTATTGACGTGTGTGCATGCCTATGTCGCTTGTTAAATGTCTGTCTTAATTTTGTCTGACTATAAATTCTAGGTCATGCTTTATCCAGTGGAAGTAGCTCACTAGCCTTCTCCACTTCACTTTACTTCATCCGCCGATTCGTTCATTCGCTTGCTTGCTTGCCTTCCCGCACTCGCATATCAGTTTCATATCTGTGGTCTGCTGTTGTATTTGTGGTGTGCACAAATAAACGTATTCAACCCCTCATGTTTGCCTTTTGATTGTTTACCGTCAGGCGCTATTTGGTGACTATTGCCTAGACGAGCGTTGGTGGCTCAATGGTGAAATGCTTGCTTGCCACGCAGGCGGAGTGGTCATCACTAGTTTCTTGACGGTTTATATCCATCTTGTTCTTAAACTTCATAATTCGTCACCGGGAATTCTTCTCGTGTCTTAGAGATAACTGAAGTATTATATGTGAGCTGATAATTTTTCATGTCTGTCTTGCTTACTGATCTGTAGTGTCATAAGATGTATGCAATGTTCCAGCAATCAGAGTAAGTACCAGTCTCCAGAGCGAGAGAGAGTGAGTGAATAGCCTTGGAAAAGCATGTGAACATCGGACCCACCTTATTTGAAGGGAAGAGATGGAATGCAGTCTACTCCTTGACTGTTTGGGACCTTGAGGGAGTTGTTCGCTTTCCTCATTGTTAGATAAGTGGAAGAAGTAGAATTTATTCTGTTTCTAGTCGCATAAATGAGTTTTGAACTAGTGCTAGTTAGTAAAACGCTTCATAGAGCGACTAAGGATTCGTTGACAGATTCATGACTCCATAAATTTTGTTTTCAGCGGTATTGGCAGATATTGTGTGCTCATAGATAAAGCGAATCTCGATCAATCAGTTTTTTATTTACATTTTCGCAACTTTTTCGCACCCAGTTAGTTAAATAAAATTTCGATCGTGTTTATTTATATGTCATCAGACATGTTTACCAGCTTTACGTTTTCACATTAAGCAAAAACAGTTTTCTAGCCTATTTTCTGGTTTGAACATCTACGTTTAGTCAAGTTTCGCTTTCGAAAATATTCCCAACTCGTGTTCATTTCGATATTTTCAATTTAACATATCCGGATGAGAACCTGAAAGGATATGACAATTGAACATGAAATCGGATTATTTATTCTTCATTCTATATCACGTTAATAACTTTACAGAATACAATTACGAGCATTTGCAAATGCACAACGATAAACAATAAGACTCAATCAAAAATGAAAACTGATACAAAAAATAATCGGCTAGACATTGTGTATATGAATGTTCTGTAAGTCAACATTGTAAGGAGGTCAACACGTTTCCTTTTGCTAATGACATTTTCATGATTTTGAATCACTACCATTCGATGTGAAATTGTTTGAACTTGTTAAGTTCATTCAGTAAGATCATGTTTTCTTCATAATCACACTGATTTTCTGTTTGAAAGAAGTCTATAAAATCACTGTCTAAATCGTTCAAATATTACAACAGTTGATTAAGAATATTCCAAACACTGGAATCATCTTAACATGATAGTTTTGAATGATTCTCACGATGGATATTCTGTTTGTACTGATCACTGTCAATTTAACCACCGAGTTCACCAAGAAACGCTAACAAGACCAGTTCTAATACAATCAAAAAAATCACTTGCCATCCCAATCATGTTGATCCTCATTTTGATTCTTGCTGACAACATTTCAGCGACTAGTATTCCCAGTTATATGAGCAGTACTCCATTTTACACAGGTATGTATATTAATATCAATTTTGATTGGCATAATTAGCAAACGTAACTGGCAGTGTATTGATCATATTTCTACTGCTATTTGAATTGTTGTATTGATTATATTTAAACAGCCTAAGTTAGTCTTTGACTATATGACATTTAGAGTGTGATTTAAAATAATACTTTGCAACATCGTTGACTGCAAGTCTACTATCCAACGTTTACTTCCCACACTTCACAAGCACTTGGTCCTTCTGCAAACATCTTCTCTAAGAGATCGTCTCTGTGTGACACGAATGCGGATTTCCAGCAGTGAATCCCGGGAAAAACACCAAAATATTTTAATTTACTCTTCAATCAGTGAGGACTCATGAACATCACTTATTCGACTTCAAATTTTCGTTTCAGATTCGTCAGATACTGTTGAGACTGACAACATCAGTGATGGTCATCAATTGTTGGATAATTTATCCAAGGACTTCCGGTTGCCACATACATTATTTCCATATTTCTACGATTTACGGATTCAAGTGCATTTGCACGATAACCAGACTAAGGAATTTTTCTTCAATGGTTCTGTGTCAATAAAACTAAACTGTCAAGTATCGACAACCGAATTCTTCGTGCATGCATACAATAATTTGAATGTGAGCCTAGATCAAATCCATGTAAGTTGTTTGCACACTTGTGCACACTTGTTTTCAATCAGAAATAAACCGTTTATTAAAGTGAAGACATAATCAAGTGACACACATAAACTATACTCTTCATCTTCTTGTTTGCGATTCGATGTAGAATTTTGATTAGATAGAAGGCTAAATAAAATTCACTCTTAAACAATTTTCAACAATAATTACTGGCTTGTACAAGGAATACTTTCATCGGACATTAAATATCAAAAATAGGACCATAACTCTATACCTATAGACATTAAAGGTTTCAGTAACATATGAAAGTAAGATTTATTTGTGGAATTAACGAAATAATCATACGAAGAAACGCATGGTTTAACTCTGGATTATTGGTAAAACGGTCAGTATGCAAAAAAGCATCTCTGGGAAACGCCACAACCACTACATTTTAATAAGCAACCATTTTGAAGCACCTTCCAATGCTTAGCAAAGCAGAATAAAAATCTTCAGTATGGAAGGGTTATGTATCTTACTCTCGAGAATTTGACTTTTTACACAAGTGAAAACTAAAATGCCATTTATCAGAACTGAATATTCTCTTTACAACCGAGTATTTTAATGTTTTCAGACTAAGATGAAGTTTTTGTTGCTTTTTCAAACAGATGTTTTCCCTCGATGATCAAGATCAAAAAAATTCCCCTGTCGAGATAGAAAACATAACTTACCACAAGGATGCAGAGTGTTATCAAATACGCCTACTAACGCCTTTACAACCATACACTCACTACATCCTGACATTTGAACAGTTTCGTTCTGATATTAAATTTGGTTCTGCTGGTTTGTTTCTTAGCCAATATGTGGAGAATGGAACTAATAAGTAGGTTTCGATTTGACTCGTGTATTAAAGTTCGTTCGTTGTTGGTTGACTATCATTGTGCTTGGAAGAGTAAAACACTTCTGTAATGTTTTTAACTAATTTAACGTTGCTGAAGTTATTGAAATGGAAGACTATCTTTTTATTCTTACCTGTGTTCATCAATTCAGTAATATGCATTAGGAAGTGAAATGTAACGATAGAATCTGGGTAGATTTTATCAAGCACCCTTAGCTGATATCTTCTAGATCTCATCGTAAATAATTAGTAGCAAAGCTCATCAGCTGCTTCAAGGCGGCTTTGTTGTTAGAACACTAGATTTCTATGTTTATGAGAGGCATGCAGCTAAATGCGAAATGCTTTTTCAGATTTAAGAGTTTGGACAGCAAATCAGTGTTGGTGGCAACTAAACGGGATCACTCATAGACAATGTTGCAGGGTGGTGGTCACTTAAGAATGAATGTTTAAGAACTTTCTTTGTTCTAGGTCGAAATGTATTAGTTCAGAATCACTTCCACAATGAATGATATTCTCTGAACTCATGAAGTATGTGCTGAAGTGCGATAAATTCTTTAGTCATCATATTGTAACTTTTACCAGTATTCCTACAAAGTTCTTGCCTACATTTATTCTTCTGTTGAGAAAAATGTTTATGCTAAAAATATTGTTTTCACTGAAATATAGTTCAGGCATTACTCTAATGTACAACAATTTTTGAGTGAATACATGGCATTAAAAACCTATTTGTATTGCCTGAGAGCTCATATTGCGAATGCTACTCACCCAGTTTGATATAATTATTTATCAACAAAATGTTCATCGTTTTCGATTTTAGATATTTAGCAAGTACTCAATTTGAACAAACTCTTGCAAGGCGCGTATTTCCATGTTGGGATGAGCCGGAATTCAAAGCACAATTCAAGGTATCAGCTATTTGAAATTGATTTCATTTCCATTATTTAAAGTTTGGCTTGTGATTTGTTACACTTCTAGACCAAGTAGATACTATTGCCAATCATGAAGGCAGGTGATGATTGCAAAGAAACAAACATGTATGTCACATGTGGGATCACAGCTGAAGGGTGTGCGAGAACGGAGGTTGACGATTGTGTTTGCTCGGATATGGGCGAATTCTGCTCCAGTGTAGATGTGATAGCAAACATTTTTCGTAACATATTCGACGTAAACTATAGATCATTGACTACCGGCTACGGTTGCTGTGAACGCACGCTGGTGGTTAATTTTGTGATGAACGGTTCAAAGATTTGGAAAATTCAAGGTTTCATGCACTCCTGGATGAGAAACCCTTATTTAGTATATGCACGATTTCCAGTTATTTGTTTCTTGCGAGTTATTTGAGATAGAGTTATTCTTCGTAGTAGTCATTGTTTTCTTTCATTCGGAAAAACTTGGGAAATGAGAGTTCTAGTATTCTGCAGTGTTATTTTGTAGTAGGATGCGAACAGATTTCATCTGTAGTGTCTTTCAATGAAGATACCACGGATATTCAAAGTTGAATAACGCTTATGTCCACAAAACATTTCATTTTGAATGTGCATTTAGCTAAGGTAAACCAGAATTCAGGAATGAAGAGGATCAATTGTACATCTGAATGACAGTTGGCATTTCAAATGGTGGGTAAGCTAATTTTGCTAGTTGACTCAAGGAGACGTGTTGTACGACATACCAGGTGGCGATCTGGTGCAAGCGCATGTCTAGATATCTTCAGATGGGATACCTACAGTGAAACGAATCTGGAAATTATAGATGTCAAAGACTTACAGAACTATTTCTTTTGGAGGACATATTTACCATTACAATTAGTTCATCATTCTAGTTGAAAAATTAGCCACCACCATATGAACTAACCAATTCCAGAATGAGATATGATATTATAAAAGATAAGCCCCATGAGACTCCAAGTTTGTTCTAAACGATGTAACAAGACCAATATTTACCTCTGTTTCGTCTTTCAGGTCAACATTATACGCCACGATACATTTCATTCGCTTTCAAACATGAATTTGGAAAGGACGGAAGTGTTGCACGATGATTGGCGTATGGACGTTTACAACATCAGTGTGATAATGCCCACATATCTATTGGCGTTTGTAGTCTCACAATTTTCAAATATTCAGAAGACAGATAATCAAGGAAGAAACGTGAGTTCGATCAGTCACAAAATTTTGCACACTCCAACTTATTTAGTTAAAATTTAACACTTTATTTTGGTTCTGTATTGGAACAGTGTACATCTACATACTACAATGTGGGAGTATGAGAAGTATGTTTGAGAAATTTATACGATCCAACGACTGAGTTCGCTGGAAAGTACAGGAAACCAGAAAGATCATTCCGAAACACGGAAAGCAGAGTCATCATTCACAGTCAAGGACAGTGACCCAAGTGCATACAACACTTCGAAATAATTTTGAGTAGACAAACCACACCGAAAGTGCAAGACATCTAAGCAGTCCACACAAACAACTACTACAAATGATGACCGGCTAGAACTCAAATTAACCTTGGAAATGTCGACATTTCAGGAAATACACGGAATACAGCGAGCTATTCGGATGCAATCAGCCGATTTAGACTTCACAGATGATATATTCCTTCTATCACACACCTAGTAACATATGCAGGTGGGGATGTCAAATTTAGAAGCATCCTCTACTGCTTACTTACTTACTTACTTTCGCCTGTTACCCCAAATGGAGCATAGGCCGCCCACCAGTTTTCTCCAACCAACTCTGTCCTGGGCTTCCCTCTCCAGTTCTGTCCAATGTTTGTTCATTCCTCTCATATCTTTCTCTATTTCACGGCGTAATGTATTCTTTGGCCTTCCTCTTTTCCTTTTGCCTTGAGGGTTCCATGTGAGGGCTTGTCTCGTGACGCAGTTAGGTGCTTTTCGTAGAGTGTGTCCTATCCACTTCCAACGCTTCTTCCTGATTTCCTCATCCACTGGAATCTGACTTGTTCTCTCCCACAGTTCGTTGTTGCTGATGGTGTCTGGCCAACGAATACGAAGTATTTTACGTAGACAGCTGTTAATAAACACTTGTATCCTCTGGATGATGGCTTTCGTAGTTCTCCATGTTTTCGCTCCATACATTAGAACTGTCTTGACATTTGTATTGAAAATCCTTATTTTGGTGTTGATTGATATCTGTTTGGAGTTCCAGATATTTTTCAATTGTAGAAATGCAGCCCTTGCTTTGCCAATCCGTGCCCTCACATCTGCATCGGATCCACCTTGATTGTCCATGATGCTGCCCAGATATGTAAAGGTGTTAATGTCCTCCAAGGCATCTCCATCAAGAGTGATTTGATTGGTGCATGTTGTGTTGCATCGGAGAATTTTGCTCTTTCCTTTATGTATGTTGAGACCTACTGCTGCAGAGGCTGCTGCTACACTCGTCGTCTTCTCTTGCATTTGTAGTTGAGTGTGCGATAGAAGAGCCAGATCATCTGCGAAGTCCAGATCGTCCAGCTGCGTCCTAACTGTCCAGTTGATACCGTGCTTCCCTCCAGATGTTGACGTTTTCATAATCCAGTCGATGACCAGGAGAAAGAGAAAGGGTGAGAGTAAGCAACCTTGCCTCACACCGGTCTTTACTTCGAAAGAGTCGGTTAGCTGTCCTCCGTGCACGATTTTGCAGTTGAATCCATCATAAGAATTCCGTATGATGTTAACTATTTTCTCAGGCACCCCGTAGTGTCGAAGAAGAGTCCACAGTGTTTTCCTGTCCACGCTATCAAATGCTTTCTCGAAGTCGATGAAGTTGATGTAGAGTGGTGAGTTCCATTCAATTGATTGTTCCATAATGATCCGTAATGTAGCAATTTGGTCAGTACACGATCGATCCTTCCGAAATCCGGCCTGTTGATCTCGAAGTTGGGCGTCTACGAAGTCCTTCATTCTGTTTAACTATATTCTGTTGAAGACTTTGCCTGCTATTGAAAGAAGAGTGATGCCTCTGTAGTTCTCACACTTGCTGAGATCGCCTTTCTTTGGTATTTTGATCAGGTATCCTTCCTTCCAGTCTGATGGTACTTGTTCCTCATCCCAAATCTTCTTGAAGAGGATGTGAAATATTTTCGCGGTTGCTTCTACATCTGCTTTCATTGCCTCTGCTGGAATGTTGTCTGGTCCTGCTGCTTTGCCGTTCTTGATTTGTCTGATGGCCATACTGATCACCTCAATCGTAGGTGCGCCAATATTAATTGGGAGGTCCGTGGATGCTGCTTCGATGTTGGGTGTCTTCAGAGGAGCTGGTCGATTCAATAGTTCCTTAAAGTGCTCCACCCACCTATTTCGCTGTTGTTCAGTGTTGCTGATTACTTTGCCTTCCTTGTTTTTCACTGGTCGTTCTGGTTTACGATAGTTCCCGGCGAGCTTCTTTGTAGTTTCATACAATTGTCTCAAGTTTCCGTCTCTTGCAGCCTTTTCCGCCGTCGTTGCTAGATCTTCCACATATTTTCGTTTGTCAGCTCTGATGCTCTTCTTCACTTCCCTGTTTGCTTCTGTGTATGCAGCTTGTGCGGTAACTTTCTCCGCTCTTGTTCGGCTGACATTGATTGCTGCTTTCTTGTTCCTCCTTTCTTCAATTTTTGCGAGAGTATCAACAGAGATCCATTCCTTATGATGCTGCTTCTTGCGACCAAGGACCTCCTGACATGTTGAAGTGATTGCCTCCTTAATCCCTTTCTAATTGTTCTCCAATGTTGTGTCCTCTCCATTGTGTAGATCCTGAAAGGCCTGGAACCTATTGGTGAGGGCTATCCTGAATTCGTTGAGCTTTACAGTATCCCGAAGAAAGGCCGTATTAAACTTGTGCGATGTTGTCTGTCCCGTTGTCCAGTGCTTCTTTAGTTTCAGTTTCATTTTGGCGATTAGCAAATGGTGATCTGAGGCTACATCAGCTCCTCTCCTGGTTCTCACATCCTCCATAGTCCTTCTGAACGTTTTGTTGATACAGATATGATCAATCTGGTTTTGAGTATTGTGATCCGGTGAAATCCATGTAGCTTTGTGTATGCGTTTGTGCGGGAATATTGTGCCACCGATTACCAGTTTGTTGAAGGCACATAGGTTTGCAAATCTCTCACCATTTTCGTTTCTTTCTCCAAGTCCATGTCGTCCCATGATGTCTTCATATCCAGTGTTGTCCATTCCAACCTTGGCATTCAGGTCTCCCATAAGAATCGTCAAATCCTTTGGTGAACATTTCTCGACGATTGACTGCAGCCTTTCGTAGAATTGATCTTTAACGTCGTCATTGTAGTCATTGGTAGGTGCATAACATTGGATGACGTTCATTGTAATGTCCTGTTTCTTTGTTTTGAAGGATGCTTTGATGATCCTAGGTCCATGAGATTCCCATCCTATCAGTGCCTTTTGTGCATGTTTGGACAGCATCAGTGCAACTGCTTGTGTATGAGAAGAATTTTCTTCTTCATGACCAGAGTATAACAGCAGTTCCCCTGAAGCTAGTCTCAGTTGTCCTACTTGTGTCCAATGTGTTTCACTGATTCCAAGCACCTCGAGGTTGTATCTTTTCATTTCTGCCGCAACTTGAAATAGTCTTCCAGTCTCCCACAATGTACGAACGTTCCATGTACCTAAAAAAATGGTTGCTCTAGTTGTCAGAAGAGGCATCAGCCCCGTGACTTCCGAGGGAACTCGGCTTTCATCACGCGACGTCATAATTCTTCCTCCAACTCCCAGGGCAGAGTTAAAATGGTTTGAATTATTTTTTCTGGTTAGCGTTTTTTTGGCAAGTTAGTTTTTGACGGAATGGGGTCGCCAACCTCATGTCCAACAGGAGTGGGTATTTAAACATTTAATCGAGTTATCGCTACGCTGACAACATGAAATTACGGGTCAGGTCTAAACTCACCCTTTCATAACCCATATGTCACGAGAACACGTCAATGCCCGAATTATGTTTTCAATCTCTTCTTCTGTTTTCGAATTATCGTTCACCAACAGTTGCCTTTTTAAAAACGTCCATTCTCTTTGACCACCAAAATGAATAGCCATACAATAAGTGGCGAATCGTAAATTATGTGGTATGCTGTTTAATCAAACAAAAGTGAACGAAGCAATTACTGTTGGTTGATAGAAACCGATCAGATTCATAAATATGGGTTCAAGTGTCAAAAAATGGCGTAATAAATGATTCCGTTGACCAATAAAAGTCAAGGATTTTGGAGTGGAAAATGTAAGCTGTAGGTGATAAATTACAAATTACAAATTACGGATTTTTCCATGTAAATTTTGGGGGTCTAAAGTCCTCAACAGTACAAAACTGTAATTTATTGTATCAAAAAGTTTATTAATTGTATGACTCACGGATTTTCTTCTGGTTTTGACATCCACAGTCGGAAGAGTTCTCCAGTTTTGTCGACAAAAATTTGGGGTTCTGCTTTGCAGGCGAGTCTAGCCAATGTAGTGTCAAGAAGCCTGAGTTCGAATGAAAGGCGGGAGGAAGCTTACTTTATTTCAACAAACACGAATAACTGTGAGAATAGATGATCAGCTAGAAAACAAAATGGTGTCAATAGTGCTATAGACTGATTCTTGGTGTTGACAAATTGTCTTCGAAACACCAAGATGTCATGAAACAATTAAAGTCATTCGCTTTGTCCCCTGAAATAGCATTTACAGAATGCCACATAATGAAACATTTCGTGCTACCTTAACATGTAAGCTGCTGGATGCTGCATGAAAATCTGTGGTCTCAAAAGCAATAATCCCTTCCATATTCATTCACCTATCCTCCATACTCAGGAATCGTACCTGCATCTAGTTACGTGATCTACCTCTCACAATCAATGGATGTAACTTGATCTGTTTCATCAAATTATTTTCTATGCAGTTGACTAGTCAGGTATTCGAAAATACTAGAGGTTGACGGCGTTGTTGACGATGTAAAACTTCGCTAACTTATTAACGAGTACAACTTGCATTGATAACCTATCAATAAAAGTTTTTCGGTGGATTCACTCAATTTTTTCATTTATAATCGCGTAAAAGTTTCATCAATGTTCTTTAATTAGACGTCTGACGTTAAATAAAAATCCTATTTACATTAGCTCGTTGCAGTTAATCATCAGTAAATTCAAATAAATATGAGAACTTGCACCGGTTTAATTTGTTAGTTAGAAACATTTACCGACATTGTAGGACATAAAAACATTTTCTTCTGACGAATGTTTAAGTTTATTATTTTCAAGGTTGGATCATCATTAATGTAAGCAGAAATCTATTCATCGATAAGAAAATTTCCTTAACAACCAGTAGTAATGATTCATTTTTCCTAGTTTCCTTTGAATGACATAGATAGTAAGAATGTGTTAAATAATTCTCACAAAGAATGATATGTCACAGTGCAGACATTATATGTAGAAATATTATCACTCACATGTTTTCAAGGTTTTGACTTTCGTTAACAGATGACCAGCTTACTGATTGAATATGACTGTCAAGAAGAGTCCGTAAGTATGCCTGGAAAACTCCGTAATTCTCATTTAGAACAAGCATACTGTTAATGTAAAGTAATGCTCGGCTTGCTGTTTTCCATACGATGAACTGATCTTCGTGTTTCAAATACTTTGTTGCATTCAGGAAATAGATATATGGTACAGTGCCACGACTGATTAAAAGAACAAGTTAAATAAACTGAGAGAAGCGAGATGATTATTTATATTCTGATTGTGTATCATTCATATTTGCATGTTCATAGTTTAGTCGATGACTCAACGTTTTTCAGGAGAACTACACATGTAACTGACATGCTGGTGGATCAATCATTTCATGATCGATTGATGATCGCGTCTATCAATAAGCACATCATGAACAGGCTAATTTGATCCATTTCGCTTACTTGACTGTCGAATTCGTTATTATTAGAAATAGTGACATGCAATACAGCACCCCAATCACGGTTGCCCTCGAGAATGATGCAAGACAACCACTTGTAACTGTATCTGTTCACTATAACACTCTTCTATCCATTAGAGTGACAACGGTACAAAATGATGCAATATTCCAGTTTTATTGAACTCAACGTTTGTTGTCTATCAAGACAACTTGAGAAAGCGAGAAAACTTAGCAACTAGGTTCAGTTACCTCTAAAATGATTAGTGGTTTCATTTAACAAATGACGCTCACATACAAGATAGCGAAAGTTAATCTTAGATGTTAAATTTCACAACCTTGAGGTATGTAAACTTTCTGCAGACAGAGTAACTAAATCCTGATTACTTTCTCATCACAGTTATTAAAGTTACAGTCAATGCAAAACAAGTGTTTGGGAGAAGTACAATATTTGTATCTGTTATGTGAAAGACGAAGAAGAAAAATTTACTGTCACTTGAATTTTCAGAAATTGAAATAAGTGGCATTTGGTTTATTTATAATAAGCTTATGCTGGTTTACATTTTGCGGAATTTTACATGAGAACCGATTGTATATCGTAAGTGCATCTGATTGCTTAAATTGAGATCATAAAAATTACGCCAGTTACATTCACAAGACATGCGACCTGAAACACGGGACAATTTTACTTCGAATGTTTTGTGTCGTCAAATGATTTCATGATTTGTAAGTTGATATTTTAGAGAGAATGAAATCGACTTCTCGGAACGTCGCACTTACTTTGCAAGGCTGAATAGATCATTCATGATTTGCCAGCGTAAGTAATCTGGAATAGCCTAAAAATAATAAATAAGTAGCAAATGAAATTTCAAACAGGTTACAACCCGATTGGATGAACTTAGTCAAAAGCTGAAAGTAGAGATTCACAAAGTAGAAAATTGTGATATTGAAATGTTGTTTGAAGTAACTTCCTCTCACTGACCTACGGTACATACCAAAGCATATTTGTAGGGAAGTCATGAATCTTTATCGCAGTTCATTGCAAACCAATGCCGGAAGTGGTATCAGAAGGAGCAACTATGTGACAATCATATGTGATTTGATGTTACTGGTTATTTTGTAATAGTTTGTGTAAAAGCTGTTGACATTACCTCTGTACAGCTTGCACGTAAGTTTGTGCATCTTACCCTACTGTATATTTGAATTCAGTCAAGGATATACGTAACCGTTGTAACCCACATCATCCGACTCACACCGTACAGTGTCATCCACACACTAGACTTTGTAAAGCAAACATGAATTGGCAATACATACTTCTTCTGCATTGATTTGAATAATAAAAATATCATATACAAAATATTTAAAAGAAATAATAGTTTCCAATTTACAGAAACAGAAATAGTTTAAACATACACTGGAGTTCTCTTGCAGTTGATCTATCAATCGTAACCAGTTGTTGTCAGCATAGTGAACTCGATAAAATCCTGCTTGTTTAACATTCACCAAGTACCAGTCATCCGAATCAATGTTCATCGTTTGAATCATTGTACCTTACAGAACAGAGGAATTATCATGTAATCAACTTATATTATTATATTTATAAATCGAGCTAGACATTTTACAGCTTAATAAGAGAATAGTGAATAGGAGATTATTTTCTGATTCATCTATTTAGAATTTAATCAGTGGTAAAATGTTTTATCTCATGTGATATTTAAAATAAACTGGTAAAATTTAGCGAGTCACTCGTTGCGAAAGTCCACTGTTGTTTTACTAGTGAAGAGGGCTTGTCAACCTGATTGTTTAACTTTTTAGTATCATACGAAATATGCACGTGCATTTTAAGTGCATTATTATTAAGCGATCATAACGAACATGAAAAACAGTATTTCTTACTGTTTACCATCCACAAAACTTCAACGTCTGTCCAGTTCACCGTTTTCGCTGACCCGTAAGTTATTGGTATTATCCAGGTGTATCTAAATGAAACGAGACGAATAATGGCCATTAAGAAGAAAAGTTCGGAAATATATGTTTAAAAACAGGGATTTGAGTAAAGAACAATAACCAAACTTGTTGATGAACCCTGGTCAAACCATCTTCTTACTCACATGAAGTGCAACAATTCAACCGATGTCAATAGAAACATGACAGTGAAGTATCACTTCTTTGTTTAGAATAAGCTTGATCAAGTAGTCTATCGTGTCACCGAATCACTGATCTTCATTTCATTTACCAATTAAGGTGCACTCGTAATGGTTCAAGCAAATCAGCTTCACATAAATCTGTTATGATTGGAGAACGGAAATGGTTTCAAGTGACTAATTCATAATGACCACAACATTGCACAGTCCTTTTGCTGATAATTTCTGGAAATAAATGATACCTGAATTCAAATACTGTTTACTCACTCTTCATATGCTGGAGAAGCATCGACATCATGAAGTTGAAGATAACGTGACTGTTCGAAATGGAATACATTAGACTGATTTCGCTGAACAACTACGAGTGGATAATTCATTTGCTTGGTCCAAGAATCCATAATGAAATCGATGTCGGGATGGTTATTTTCGGATTTCCATTCCTAATTTTGAGAAGAAAACAATATTTTGATAAGCCACTGTCATTATAGTTTTTAGGAAGTAATTTTGTGATATCTTGAATATCATTGTGTTTCTAATAAATGAAGCATGTTTTCAAGATAGAGCTTTAAGTAAAATTCAGAGAAATTCACTTTTACTTCAGAATATGCATTATAATTTGACTAATGATGAACGTAAACTGTGGGTGAATAATTTGACTCAACGCTCCAGAGAATGGAGACGTACACTAAATGATCATTACTGTTTTATCACTATATTTAGTATATAGGTGAATTCCATATAATGGGCCACCATGGAATCTAGTGTCTTCTCATGATAGCCTCAAAGAATAGATGGCAACAGTGCAGAAGAGCACGAAGGACATGTAAATTGTTAAAAATATAGAATGTCTCACATAACAGCATAAATACACTATCGCTTCATAATATATTTCTAAGAGATACTTCTGTTCAATATAAAAGTAATGTACTTCGGTCAGTAGGAATCAGGCAAGCCATTGTATACATACAGAAATTCAACCAAAGGTTTAAAAAGAGGAGTGTTCAACAAATACTTACTTCGGATAATGCCTTCCATAAGTCCTTTTCATCTGTGTTCTTATATTGGTTTTCAAATAAGTATTTCTTGAATAAATGCAGAAAAAGTTATTTTCAAAAGTATTTCCAGAGAAGTATTAGCAAGTGGTCATGGATAAGACAAGAAAGCTAAGGAGCTATATGATGGATTTCACAGTGAAGCTTTTTATCTCCACCTTTAAGAATAAAAAGCATAATATGCACAAGCTTTACGCTGAGGTGAGATTAAGTAAATCTCAAGAATAATTGAACGTAATTGCGTGAAAACCGTAAATTACGTATTGTTTGTGTTCTTGACTTGTTCTTGATTTTTCTTCTCTTCCGATACTATCCCTATCATCCTACTTTCAGACAATTAAGATCACAAAATTAAGCAAAACTACATAATTTCAGCTAATTTACAACGAAATTGTATGATGTATAAGATTGACTTAGATGTTGTTAATATATCTTAACAGTTGATCAACTGACATTCGATTTTGAAAGCACTCTCCGTTTGCGTATGATGATATATGAGCTTAAACATTTCATTATGTGAAACACTTGTTGATAAAGTTATATATGAGAGTTTAGAATAGATAATCCCTTGGAAACTATACTTTTCAAAAACTGATAATTTGTCTTGCGATATATCGTTCTGAGGCATAACTAACCAAATGATCTGATGACAGTTTTTGCTAGAATATCTCCGAACAACTGACTGAACACTTAGTCGACTACACACCAAAAGGTGCCTGTCCACGTTTTAAGTATGATCACTCAATGACGTTCAATAACAACAAGAAAACAACTGTCAACATACTTTCAGGCCGTCTTTAAGCACTCTGTGTCCCATGAACATCTCCATCATTTGAATCAAGGAGGCACCCTGTGAATTATTCAATAAAATATAGAAAATCAAAACACATCACACATGCATCAAGTGTGGAAACAAGTAGTTTAGTCAATGATTTGACCAATGAACCTCAAGGTTAACCTAGTCGAAGATTCAAAATAAATGGTCGAACTTCGTATGGTTGTTGAAGTCGAACACATAATTAGGAAAATGCCATATTGTGATGCCTCTTCGAACAAAATAGTTTTAAAAAGCTGAATTCCATTGCAGTAAAATATAAGTGAATACTATGGCTCGGTGGATTTTCGAATGCGAAACTTTCAGTTTGACAGATGCCAATGAAATCCACTGTTTCACCCCACCTTCTCGTTTACCTTACGGGCAGATATCACTGTTATTCTGGACATAATTCCACGCTAGCTGGAGTTGGTCATCACTTACGTATCTGCCTAACTGTTTTTGTAGTTGATGGTGTGTTAGGATATCCATTCAATGTTCTGAGAGAATTATTTGTAAGTATTCTCCCATTTGTCAATGCCTATTGGTTAATTCCTGTTGGTCGTCCTAACTATTAATGTCACAGACTTCAATGTTGTTCCCCATTCGACCTAACTGTATAAATATGGGTTATCTGAAGTGTTTTCGGATCCGGATCCTTAGCTCGGGATCCTTATCCTCTTCTGCACTCGAACCTCGTATTTCCTGGATGCTTGAAGAATACACGTTCTACTTCATATGAAGTCTTCTTCTATACTCAATGGGGGTTTGGGACGTTCCGATTATAGTAGCGTGTCCTGTCTCCAGATGATTGATGCTCGCTCTCGTTTACCGGCCTATGTTAACTCGTACTAGTTCAAGCATACAACTTGACGTGTTGATGCTTCAGTCGTAACATGATGAAATATAGTCATAGTTATGCTATCATCATGTAGAACTGTAAGAGGTTTGCTTACAGTATCGTTCCTACGTTCAGTAAGACGCAAGCAAATTCGCCCTCCTACTAGAGCATAATCTGAATCTAAACATGTGTTTCAGAATGAGCGGCAGACTTCTGTCGAACTACTCTCTCACTGACTGATAGCGATGTGGTTTTGTTGAGTACAGGGTTGAGACGCCTTTAAATCGACTCACTAAGAAGTGTTTTTCCTTAATCTACCAGTTTGACTCTGTTATCTGTTTCACCTATCCTAAAAATTTACTTCACTTTGGTGAGCAGAGTTATCAACAAAAATAAACGGTGCGATAGTTTAGTGATCTATGTATTTGTTTAAGGAACACTTGGAAAAATTTCAAACACACGTTAATCGAGACAGCAGACTTCTGTTTACTGACTTGACTACTGTATGGAAATGATAATATTTCATTCACAAAATTTATCCTCAAACCTACCTTATCGTAAATAATCACTTCATCCAGGAATTCATTTTCATTTATATCATAATAAATAACTGGGCGTGATTTCGAAGAAGCGTCAATACCAAGTGCACCATACAGTTCGAACACCAACCGTAGTTTATCCTGATCACAAAAAAGTGAATTTATTTTATGCATGACATTATGTTAACTGATTTGAACAAAATTATCTACATTATAGAAAAAGAGTATATTCAATTGATTCTATCATCTTTGAACATTTAATTAAAGGTCACTGATTATCTTGACAAATGTGAACTCTTCAAATGGTATACCAAAACATTTTACATTTCGCCTTTTATCAAAACCTGTATTAAAACAAGACCAATAACGTCTGATCGAAATCAAGTTTGCATTTTCATTACTTAAATTCAGTTCTTAAATACATTACATTTAACGAAGTGTTATAAATTGTATAACATACTAATTAAGTGCTGTCAACTAGTTTAAGGAATTCGGTTTTCACATTCTTGCTTACACACAACATGGCTACATTGCATGAAAAACAATTTCCAAGTGTCTTACGTAGTGACATTCAGTATAGGAGACATGAAACACTGAACTGATGAAATCCCCAAAGTAATCATGTAACTCACTATATTCCAGTCAGGATGTATTGAATTTACTCCGATATATTCGAAGAAAGTTGCAAAGCCTTCATTCAACCACAAATTATCCCACCATTTCATGGTTACTAAATTTCCGAACCACTGAAAAAAATGTTAAGAATGCAGATTGGTTAACGTGATAAACATGGAACACTCAGTGTAGTAACGATATTTTCAGCAGTTAATACAATTACTTGGTTGCTGATTGTACGGTGTAATGAGACCATTGATTCGGTCACCACAACGCAGTTTCAGAGGAATTCCTAATGAAATTTAGAAAGTGGATGGCTGATGGTTATCAGCTCGGTCAAGTGAGAGGCGATTGCTTGCAAGTATTATTTTCCAAGTGGTGCCAATCTATGATCGAAACCACTTTCAAATGAGACAATTATAAATGAAACTCATTATTTCGTTTTTCGAGAATAAAAAGTTTACCTGATGAGCAAGTTCATGTGAAACGGTCAAAGCCACATCAATTTTGGATCCTAATGAATCAACTTTCGGACTCCATAACATTGAAGGTTCACTGAAAGTTATCAGACCCCAGTTTTCCATTGCCACTTCGGAGGTGTTGGGAACTGCAATCATATCTACAAATGTCACGGAGAAAATATTTAAAATGAAAATAATCCTCACACTATTTCACATTGCTGCCATAAGTGCCTGATTACCGGAATTATCAAACATGTGCATTTTTTGGATATTTCTAACTGGTCAAATAGTTGAACATTCTCATTAAGAATAAATCAACCTTTTTTAAAAACATAGATATTGCAATTAATATAACATCAGATTTAGTTAGGCATCTATATTTTCCAGGTGTTGAGATCCTACTGTCTAAGTGGATAATTTAAATTGTATAGTATCAAGTTGATCACTTGGTTAAACGAATGCACAAATAATAAGTTACTTACCCATTTTCGGAAGTGAATAAGGGATTCCAAAATAATCTTCGAAATACTCCAATACTTTTATTCCAATATCAAGTGCATATTCAGCTGACTCAATTTTATCTGGTCTTGCCCAAACAGTAAACTAAATGAAAGAATTATACTATCTAGAAAAGTGTCACTTGTATAAACAACTGAAATGCACTTTTAAACAGTGTAACTTACACAGCGCGCAAGAAATCCCAATCAAACTCACTGGTTATTCAAATACTTTAATTTGATTGAGAAATGTAACAACAAATGACATTACAACAACGTATAGCACCGTCAAATAATAATATTCTTTCTAATCAAGTGTTGTCCGGTAGTTTCATTAATTTAGATGGATTTATGAGCGAGCAATATATTTCAGATAAAACTTCAGTCTATCCGGAATCTAAACTTATTTCGTGACTGCATAACGCTTGTCACCTCTCGTGGAACAAAGGTTATTGACTAGGTTTCTTGGATCAGCAATTGCTTTAGAATGTTTAACATATTGTACATAGTGCAATTTTATTCCTCTGATTTCCACCGCCTAATCTAAGTTGATTGTGTCATTTGGTCATCTTCTGTTCCGTTCGCCTTGTGAATTACAAGCTAGGACTTGCTTCGTAGCACAGTCGTGTAATTTCAGTAATGTGTGTCCTATCTACTTCCAACGGCTTTTCCTAACTTCCCTTACACATGGAAGCTGGTTCTTTCTCTGCCACAGTAATTTCTTGCTAATGGATGCTGGGCAACATTTTCAAAGTGTCATTTGTCAACAACGCGTCGTAAATGTGTGTGCATTTTTGATGTTAGGGGTAGTAGTAATTCTACGAATTTCAACAAAACATTGTTTTCAAACTATAATTACACAAGTGCTTTGTTTCTCAATTGTTTCCCATAGATACTATTAATGAATGTAGACTTGCGCACATGTTACAGATCGTCACCATCATCTGTTAGTAGGAGGATGAAAACTATAATGCATTTCAGGATATCGTTTTGCTCGTGTATATTTTAAGGCTTGCAGCAGTAAAGGATGCTTCTAAATTTGACATCCCCACCCGCATATGTTACTAGGTGTGTGATAGAAGGCATATACCATCTGTGAAGTCTAAATCGGCTAATCGCATCCGAATTGCTCGCTGTATTCCGTGTATCTCCCGAAATGTCGACATTTCCAAGGTTAATTTGAGTTCTAGCTGGTCATCATTTGTAGGGGTTGTTTGTGTGGACTGCTTAGATGTCTTGCACTTTCGGTGCGGTTTGTCTACTCAAATTTCTTTCAGTTTGCTGTGTGTACTTGTGCCGCTGTCTTCGACTGTGATTGACGACGCTGCTTTCCGTGTTTCGAACTGACCTTTCTGGTTTTCTGTACTTTCCAGCGAACTCAGTCGTTGAATCGTATAAATTTCTCAAACATGCTTCTCATGCTTCCACATTGTAGTATGCAGATGTACACTGTTCCAATACAGAACCAAGATAATGTGTTAAATTTTAACTAAATAAGTTGGAGTGTGCAAAATTTTGTGACTGATCGAACTCACGTTTCTTCCTTGATTGTCTGTCTTCTGAATATTTGAAAATTGTGAGACAACGAACGCCAATAGATATGTGGGCATTATCACACTGATGTTGTAAACGTCCATACGCCAATCATCGTGCAACACTTCCGTCCTTTCCAAATTCATGTTTGAAAGCGAATGAAATGTATCGTGGCGTATAATGTTGACCTGAAAGACGAAACAGTGGTAAATATTGGTCTTGAATATAAAAAGTAACATGTTACATCGATTAGAGCAATTTTGCAGTCTCATAGGGCTTTTCTTTTATAATATCATATCTCATTCTGAAACTGGTTAGTTCAAATGATGGTGACTAATTTTTCAACTAGAATGATGAACTAATTGTAACGGTAAATATGTCCTTCAAAAGATATAGTTCTGTAAGTATTTGACATCTATACTTCCCAGATTCGTTTCACTGTAGGTATCCTATCTGAAGCTATCTAGACATGCGTTTACACCAGATCGTCGCCTGGTATATCGTACAACACGTCTCCTTGAGTCAACTAGCAAAATTAGTTTAGTCACCAATCGAAATGCCAACTCTCATGCAAATGTAACATCGATCCTCTTCATTCCTGAATTCTGTTTTAGATTAGCTATATGCACACTCAAAATGAAATGTTTCGTGGACATAAGCGTTGTCCAACTTTAAATATCCGTGATATCTTTATTGAAAGACACAACATGATCGAGTATATTTATTGAGATACTCAGTTTTTCCGGGCTCAGTGTATATATGTGTAAAATTCACGATATGCTGTCATATTATTTTAGTTTTCCTCTCTCATATTTATGTACATTTTCTTTTTATTTAGTAAGTACGCACACTACACTTCCTATGATAAAGATACTTGCATCACCATCCACATCGTTGAACTGCAGCATGGTGCAACTGAATATTACTGAGTAATAAAGACCTCATCTGCAAAAGAAATTTCGATCAAGGCCTTCATGGAAAATTTGATTGTCCAAACTGCCCTGACAGATGACAGCTGTTCGCATCCTAGTTCAAACTAACACTGTGTACTTAACGGTAAAATCTGTCAATTATATTCTGCAGAATACCAGAACTCTAGATCCCCAAGTTTTTCCGTATGAAAGAAAACAAAGACTACTTCGAAGAATAACTCCATCTCGAATAACTCGCAAGAAACAAGTAACTGAAATAAGGGTCTATAAAGAAACAGGGTTTATCATCCAGAAGTGCATGAAAGCTTTCAGTTTCCCAATCCTTGAACCCTCCATCACAAAATTACCCACCAGCATGCGTTCACAGAAACCGTAGCCGGTATACAATGACCTATGGTTTACGTCGATTATGTCATGACAAATGTTCGTTATCACATCTGAACTGGAGCAGAAGTTGCTGTTTTCTGAGCAAACACAAGCAATCGAAAAATTGATTCAGTTTTCAATTTACAGATGGCAAACGAAAAATCAATCGCCACATACGGGAGAATGTACGTTCACCTCAACCTGCGTTCTCGCACATCCATCCGCTGGAATCCCACATGTCACACACACGTTTATTTAATCGCAACCACTACCTGCTTTAATGATTGTCAATAGTATCTACTTGGTCTAGAAGTGTAACAAATCACAAGCCAAACTTTAAATAATGGAAACGAAATCAATTTCAAATAGCTGATACCTTGAATTGTGCTTTGAATTCCGGTTCATCCCAACAAGGAAATACGCGCCTCGCAAGCGTTTCTTCAAATTGAGTACTCGCTAAATATCTAAAATCGAAAACGATGAACATTTTGTTGATAAATAATTATATCAAACTGGGTGAGTAGCATTCGCAATATGAGCTCTCAGGCAATACAAATAGGTTTTTAATGCCATGTATTCACTCAAAAATTGTTGTACATTAGAGTAATGCCTGAACTATATTTCAGTGAAAACAATATTTTTAGCATAAACATTTTTCTCAACAGAAGAATAAATGTAGGCAAGAACTTTGTAGGAATACTGGTAAAGGTTACGATATGATGACTAAAGAATTTATCGCATTTCAACACACACTTTATGAGTCCAGAAAATATCATTCATTGTGGAAGTGATTCTGAACTGATATTTTTCGACCTGAAACAAAGAAAGTTCTTAAACATTCATTCTTAAGTGATTACCACCCTGCAACATTGTCTATGAGTGATCCCGTTTAGTTGCCACCAACACTGATTTGCTATCCAAACTCTTAAATCTGAAAAAGCATTTTGCATTTAGCTACATGCCTCTCATAAACATAGAAATCTAGTGGTCTAACAACAAAGCCGCCTCGAAGCAGCTGATGAACTTTACTACTAATTAATCAAACTGACATCTAGAAGATATCAGCTAAGGGTGCTTTATAAAATCTACCTAGATTCTATCGTTACATTTCAATTCCTAATGCATATAACTGAATTGATGAATACAGGTAAGAATAAAAAGATCGTCTTCCATTTCAATAACTTCAGCAACGTTAAATTAGTTAACAACATTACAGGAGTATTTTACTCTTCCAAGCAAAATGATAGTCAACCAACAACGAACGAACTTTAATACACGACTCAAATCAAAACCTACTTATTAGTTCCATTCTCCACATATCGGCTAAGAAACAAACCAGCAGAGCCAAATTTAATATCAGAACGAAACTGTTCAAATGTCAGGATGTAGTGAGTGTATGGTTGTAAAGGCGTTAGTAGTCGTATTTGATAACACTCTGCATATTTGTGGTAAGTTATGTCTTCTATCTCGACAGTAGAATTTTTTTGATCTTGATCATCGAGGGAAAACATCTGTTTGAAAAAGCAACAAAAACTTCATGTTGGTCTGAAAACATTAAAATACTCGGTTGTAAAGAGAATTTACTGTTTAGATAAATGGCTTTTTAGTTTCCACTTGTGTAGAAAGTCTAATTCTCGAGAGTAAGATACATAACCCTTCGATACTGAAGATTTTTATTCTGCTTTGCTAAGCATTGGAAGGTGCTTCAAAATGGTTGCTTATTAAAATTTAATTTTATTTTAATTTTATTTTAATATTAATTCCACAAATAAATCTTACTTTCATATGTTACTGAAGCCTTGAACGACTATAGGTATAGAGTCCTATGATCCTATTTTTGATATTTCATATCCGATGAAAGTATTCCTTGTACAAACCAGTAATTGCCACATTTATTTTGCGTTGTAATACTCAAAATAAAAAGTTCCACTAGGCAATGTACTGTCAAGTCATTGAAGAAGTAAAGTGATGTAACTGTGATCCGACTCAAAATATTATTGTTGAAAATTGTTTAAGAGTGAATTTTATTTAGCCTTCTCTCTAGTCAAAATTCCACATCGAATCACAATCAGGAAGATGAAGAGTATAGTTTATGTGTGTCATTTTATTATGTCTAGACTTGAATGAACGGTGTATTTCTGATTCAAAACAAGTGTGCCAAAAACAGCTTACATGGATTTGATCCAGGCTCACTTTCAAATTATTGTATGCATGCACGAAGAATTCGGTTGTCGAAACTTGACAGTTTAGTTTTATTGACACAGAACCATTGAAGAAAAATTCCTCAGACTGGTTATCGTGCAAATGCACTTGAATCCATAAATCGTAGAAATATGGAAATAATGTATGTGGCAACCGGAAATCCTCGGATAAATCATGCAATAATTGATGACCATCACTGATGTTGTCAGTCTCAACAGTATCTGACGAATCTGAAACGAAAATGTGAAGTCGAATAAGTGATGTTGATGAGTCCTCAGTGATCAAAGAGTAAATTAAAATATTTTGGAGTTTTTTCCGGGATTCAGTGCTGGGAATCCGCATTTGTGTCACACAGAGACGATCTCCTAGAGAAGATGTTTGCAGAAGGACTAAGTGCTTGTGAATTATGGGAAGTAAACTTTGTATCGTAGACTTGCAGTCAACAATGTTGCCAGGAGTTATTTTAAATCACACCCTAAATGTCATAAAGTCAAAGACCTACATAGGCTGTTTCAAAGTAATCAATATAACAATGGAAATAGCAGTAGAAATATTAACAATACACTGCCAGTTACGTTTGCCAATGATGCCAATCAAAATTGATATTAACATACATACCTGTGTATAATGGAGTACTGCTCATATAACTGAGAATACTAGTCGCTGAAATGTTGTCAGCAAGAATCAATATGAGGATCAACATGATTGGGATGACAAGTGATTTTTTTGATTGTATTAGAACTGGTCTTGTTAACGTTTCTTCTTGCACTCGGTGGTTAAATTGACAGTGATCAGTACAAACAGAATATCCATCGTGAGAATCATTCAAAACTATCATGTCAAGGTGACTCTTGTGTTTGGAAAATTGCTAATCAACTGTTGTAATATTTGAGCGATTTAGACAGTGATTTTATAGACTTCTTTCAAACAGAAAATCAATGTGATCATGGAGAAAACGTGATCCTCCCTGATGAGTTTAACAAGTTCAAACAATTTCACATCGAGTGGTCGTGACTGAAAATCATGAAAATGACATCGACAAAAGGAAATGGGTTTAGTGAACTGCTGACCTTTCAACAATCTTAAATAACCGAACATTCATATACACAATGTCTAACCCATCATTATTTGTCCCGGTTTCCGTTATTGATTGAGTCTGATTATTTATCATTGGACATTTGCGAAAGCTCGTAATTGTATTCCTTAAATATATGAATGTGATATAGAATGAAGAATATTAATCCGATTTCATGTTCGCTTGTCATATCCTTTCAGTGTCGCGTTCAGATATGTTAAATTGAAAATATTGAAATGAACACAAGTTGGGAATATTTTATTTCATATTATATTTGAAAAATTATCCGAGTTAACTTACCCAAGGATATTCTGTCGATAATCATTCTTGCCGTAAGCCACAACGTCAGCTGCAAACCCCCAGTTATGGCGAAACCACACAGACTGGCACTAGACAAATTAGGTATCGCTAAGCGTAAGTTTGACAATTTACTTGCTTTCGTCTTTCGCACACTCCATGGGCCTCCCCACTATACTGAGTTCGCAAAAAAGACGGTCGTAGATACTCAGTGTTCTGCCCCTAACTTGTACACGACAAGTCAGTGCGTTTGCTTAGGGAACCTTTCACACCGCGTAACAACGATATTGATGAACCCTGGTCAAATCATCTTCTTACTCACATGAAGTGCAACAGTTCAACCAATGTCAATATAAAAATGACAGTGAAGTATCACTTCTTTGTTTAGAATAAGCTTGATCAAGTAGTCTATCGTGTCACCGAATCACTGATCTTCATTTCATTTACCAATTAAGGTGCACTCGTAATGGTTCAAGCAAATCAGCTTCACATAAATCTGTCATGATAGGAGAACGGAAATGGTTTCAAGTGACTAATTCATAACGACCACAACATTGCACAGTCCTTTTGCTGATAATTTCTGGAAATAAATGATACCTGAATTCAAATACTGTTTACTCACTCTTCATATGCTGGAGAAGCATTGACATCATGAAGTTGAAGATAACGTGACTGTTCGAAATGGAATACATCAGACTGATTTCGCTGAACAACTACGAGTGGATAATTCATTTGCTTGGTCCAAGAATCCATAATGAATTGGATGTCGAGATGATTATTTTTGGATTTCCATCCCTAATTTGTGTACTGCTTCTGCGGCCAAAATTTTGATTAGACATCGACCTTTATACTTATTAGGATAATTTGTACGATACTTCAGATTTATTTGTGCCCTCATAACATTTTTGTTCAATAATAAACGTGTGTGCATCTCTAAGTAAGAATCAGGCAATCAAACGTACTCAAACAGAAATTTAACCAGATGCTTGAACAGTGTAATGTTCACCAAATACTTACTTCAGAAATTTCTGTGTTCTCATATTGATTTTCGACTTATTATTTCTTGAATAAATACAGAAAAATGTATTTTCACAAGTTACTTCTAAAAGAGCATTAGCAAGTTTTTGTGAATAAGACAGGAGAACTAATAGCCTATGTGACGAATTAAACAGTGCAATCTTGTCATTATTTTCTTAACCAAATAGGATGAACGATACTTTGAACACAAAATACTTTCCCTTACAAATGGACTTCTTTGCTGTAAAATCTATTTGAATAGTATGCTTCACTTGAATTTCGTAAGAACTTTAGAGATTTATGGATCGGTTTGGGTAGTTACATAATTTTTGAAAAAAATTGTTTTATTTGCCTGGATTCACTGATGCTGCTTTTGATTATGCAAACAGAATATACGTTTTGAAAGTTTTAACTTAATATAAAGTTTTAGATTAAACACTAACGACATTTTGTGATGCAGCTATTTTGAAGTTTATGTTTTGCTGTTGATTAAATGCATTAGATAATCACGAGGTTAGTGATTCCAAAATGTCAAGTGGTGATTTGAAGTTTTAAACCTGTCAATTTACGAAATGACATTCAACATATGTCAATGAAAACAGTGAACAAATAAAAAAAATCTCAAAGAAACCATAAAATTCGCTTTTAACCGCTTACTGAATTTAGTCCGAAACATCCGAAGACAGTTGTAAGGTCTTCATGCAACCACAAATCATCCCACAACTTCATTTTTACTAAATTTCCGAACTAAATAAAAAGAATATTTATGATAAGGACTGGCAAACATAACACATATGAATGGCTCACTGTGGTTTCGATGTTCACAGCAGCTAATACAGTTGCATGATTAAAAGCGGTGTTTGTACATTGTATTGTGATCGTTCACTTGATCACGGTAACGAGACTTCGAAAGAAATCTGTAGACACCGTAGAAATGCGGTGATTGATGGATTTCAGGTGCGAGAAGTGAGAGTCCCTGGATATGGTCTATTCTGCTTGTACGTTGAGGCTCGCTGCAGCAGAGTCTACTGCTACATTGGACATATTCACTCGCATTTGTTTCCATGTGTGTGATAGAAGGACTACGTCATGTAAGATGTCTAAGTCGACTAAATACATCCGAGCTGTTTGCTGTATTACGAGCTCCATCTGAGATGTTGTGGTTTTCAAAACCAATGCAACCACCAGCAGAATGAGAGAGGACGAGAGTGAGTAAACTTGTATGACATCAATCGTTTTGTGAAATTGGCAAATGAGCTGCCCTTCATACACGACTTGGCAATGTAGTCCATCGTAAGAATTCCATCTGATGTTGACCATCTTCTCAGGCACACTGGCGTTGAAGGATGCTCCACATTATTTTGCTGTCCTTGCTGCCAGATGTTTCCTCAAAGTCAAAGAGGTTAATGTAAAATGATGAGTTCGGATGTCAGCAAAATGACATAGGTTTTAGAGACTGCTAAAAAGTAAACGTCTTGAAATACAAAGTACCTACTAAAGTGGATGAGATATTTTCTTTTCCGTTAAGTGTGAGACTACATGAGAGCATTATCAGTCAAGAACTGTTTGCAGTAAATCATTTCTATTCTAAGTGTTTATTGTATCACACATCTGTGCTTACGTTACTTATTTGTACATAGCTAGTTGCTCAATAGGAATCAGTAGGGAACTAGGTATCTGCGATGTGATTGTAAGTTTAACTAGTCAATCAATTATTGTTTTCAGGCGTAGTCTTTTTAAAACACTTACAAGTTGTACACAATTTGTCGAAATATCCTTAATTAGCAGATATAATAACTAGCTGCAAAACAGTTAAATGCTTTATATTTGGTCAGGGATATTTTATGTAATCGATACTAGTGAATTAATCAATAGTATGAGCTTTTATGATAATTTTGTTTCCAACTTTAGTTTTACATTTAAACAATCAGACAAATATTATGACATGATTATTAATCGTTCCGCATCAGAGTTCTGCTAAATCTGCAGTGTGATTATTCATCTTAAATGCATTTATTACTAGTTTAAAGTAAAAGTTGACAATCAGTTAAATGATTGTGAACTAAGTGTAGGTGTAAACGGCATATACATCGATCAAACAACCAGCCAATTATCCTCCCTCCAAATGATTGAATGAAGGGACATTTTGGATTTTCGATTAACTGTACAGTTTATCATTAAAGTTACTTAGCATCTAATGCGCTAATACACGTAACATTTCTGTGAGACACCAATTGTAATCACAAGTTGTCAGTCTTCAAGTGAAGTCATAGACAAGACCAAAGACCAACGGTTGAAAAACAAATCGTGCTTCTAACAATTCGGTGACATAATCAGATCTCGGCCATACAAGTTTATTTTGTCATGTTATGAAATCTTTTTATTTTAACAGCAGCTCAATTCTTGACTTTCAAAACCGTAATCGATGAAGTGTATTGCCTATTATCCATAAACTCTTCAGTTAATTTTGTTTCAAGAAACAATTATGCACTCATTGTGTATTAGATTAACAGTTTATTTAATGTGATAAAACTTAATGATCTAATTTATTTGACGAAATATGTGCAAATCGGTCACACGTAGTGTCAAATAAATTTCAACACATGATGCTGTTATTCTTTAATGGAAGTGGTAATCCCTATACAAACTGAGCACGTTTTGGCAAATTCATAAACTGATAGCTTTTGTAAACGACATTAGTTAATAGTGGTTTGATAATGCAAAGTATTATGTTATTTACATTTACCAGATATGGTAAAAAGTTTGATGCAACGAAATATTTAAGTTTCGTTTGTTTACCACAGTTTTTGGATAGTCAGGTATCAATAATTTTCTGGAATTTTCTAGAATACACTGAATGCCTACACGTTTCTTATTGCAACCTAGTCGTGACGTTAGATCCCCAGAGCTCACATGGAAAAGGTCCTAATTTTGTAATTTATTTCTGTATTTTGAAATTTTATGTTTTCACGCCGAGAGACGTTTAGTTGACCTACAGCTTACTTTTCGCACTCTGAAATCCTTGACTTGCATTGCTTGACGGATTATGTTAATACGCTTATTTGTGACTCCGCCGAGTGTGTTTCTATCATGCATAAACAAGCTTGATTTGTGTGCTTAGTAATCGTCGTAACTTTTTGGGTGCTTGTAGAATACATTCTTGATGCCTTACGAAGACTTTTTGTTCTAGTTAAACGGGGCTGAGACAACGGATTAGAATAGCTTGTTGTGTCACTGAGTCATTGCTTCAGTTCGTTCACCGGGTAAGATGTACTCTCAATAGTTTCAAGCATATCCATTGACGAGCATAGCATATCATACCACCTGTTCGCGTCCTTCTGATTGATTCTTAGGCTGAATTAATAAACTTTAAATTTACCTACAACACATTTTGCTTTCTGCTTTACAATGAATTTCAAGTTGTTCTAATGAGCTGGACTAATGTATTTACTGAATTCACAGTTATCTGTTGATTTATGGAGATCATTCACAGTGGTAATGTGAATGTCTCATAGTATATTTTAAAACATGTTACCGAATAATTCTGTTCACCTTGCTGGTTTCTTGATCTATGTGACTTTAAAATAGTGAGTTGTTACTTAATTCTCTGTTTATTCTTCATGTTAACGGACTACTGCAATGTGCAATCAAGTTCACTTGGAACAACTACAACTATCAGAATAGTGATATTTGAAAATCGAAATTTCTATCAGTTGCATAAGGTTGCTGAAGTTTCAGCGTTTGATATAAATTACGCCACACAGGTTAGAAAAAGCCACATTTATGTACATGTGGATGTGCTGATTGGAATGCTAATAAAAATGAATGTTCTCAATCTGTTGTGAGAGGTGAAGGATTATTTGCTAAATATGATATGTTCAATCCAAGGAAGTTAGTAAATGCAAAGTCGTACTTTAAGCGTATTCATAACCTTGTAACGAAAATAAAACACATAAAACTGGGGAAAATAGGGTAATATAGTCTTCAAAATTTTTCGTCAGTATATGAATGGAGATAACAATTACGCATACGGACTGATAAAACGGGTCGAAATTCACATTTTCAGCTCTTCCATTATCATTTAGAAAGAAATTTTTCCCACACAGTAGTCTTGCATTCATATGGTAGGGTTTAATTATCAAGTAAATCCATCTATTTGCCATGTTATATGTGCTGAATTGTCTGTTTGTTCAAGACTGGACGTTGAGCTAATAATAAACTTGCCGGCCTTGCATTTGTGGCTACTTTCTGATTTGTTGCTTCCGTTGACAAAATTGCATAATTGGTTGCACCTTACTTCATTTTTTATCATCCACCATAAATTTATCTGCGATATGGCCGAATTTCCCGAAAAACTCTATATGAACTTCATATTTCGTGTGACAGATCAACGGAAACTTCACCGAAAGATATCCCTCGCACATTCAAGTTATCATGTCGTTAATCACTTTACACAGATATTCACTTTCAAAAATCAGAATTCCGTTCACGAATTATAATTTCATTCCGCTAAGACAAAAACCTTAAATTACATTTATTCAGAATACATTTTGGGCAAATACATTTTTAGATTCCTGTAGAACGACTTTTTCTAAAAATCTAATGTTACTACTTGATAAAAACTAGTAGTTTAAAAGTAAAAGCATTTTACTTTGTGAAATCAACTTATCCAACGATATCGATGAAATTGCTTTCTTAAAATAGTCGATGCATATCTCTAGAATTGAATGAAGATGATTGCTTCCAATTACAGTAACATTACGTATTAGGAAAACATCAAGTCCTCACTTCCATCTTTCCCTAGTAAAACTATTAACAGTCCGACAATTAGAATGAAACTTTTCTCTTCTAAATAGCTACCTCACACATGTTAACTTCACGTAATACAGTCTTATTCTGCTTTACATAAGCTTAGGTATTTTAAAATTTCATTCTTGTTTATTGATTTGATTAGGAGATTGTAAAAATAAGAGTCAGTGGATTTTTAAAATGAAGACAGTGAGTGTACTGCGTACCACAAATCTGATGTTACCACTTGATAAAAACCAGTAGTTTCGAAATAAAATCATTTAGTTAAAAGTAATAGTTAATTTGGGTCTAGCTATAGTGAAAACTGTATTATTTTTGAGATTGATAATTAAACTACGGAATAAGTAACTTAAGTAGAAATATTATTGTATGAGAAAATTAACCTTCAAAGTATAATTGCACTCAAAAGATAACGATTGTCAATTAAATTCAGTCTAATTTTACCATCCTACCGTTGAAACGATAGTCTCTATTAATGTTAGTTTGATGACGGAATTTGTTATAACTTTGATCTTCCTTTGTCATTAAGTATGAATATTGACTGACTCAAGCCAAACTTTCGCAAACACGAGTAGCTCCAAACGAAACTCCACCTGAAGTTCCTTTCATCGAGTGATAATTCTAAATGCGGATAATGGAGAAAGGTTAGGCATATGTTTAGTAAGATCATACCATAAAAACAATAGTCCTAAAAGAATGGTAACCAAGAAACATAATCTAAACCGTTCAAGCACCTAAGAGAAATTCAATTTGTTTTCATTTTGAAGACTTTTGAAGAAACGGATACCCACACTGATAACAAGAGCATTATTACACATACGTACATAGAATGTCTTCATAATGTAAGGGACAGTTAGGACCATTTCAGTAGCTGCACACATAAAATCATACAACTTACTCTGATTGGAATAAGTGAAACTCATTTGACACAAGCTGAACAGAAAATATTATCTTCCAAAAAGACTATGACATACTTCACTCATGCAGAAACAGATGTCTTCATTACACATAATTGCACAGATATTTTAAGGATAAACGCAGAAAACATATATAGAATGGGGAGCACATCGATTCATGAACACCATATTATCCTACAGCATAAAGAAGAAGAGAAGTACAATGATTGTCAGCCAGTGCTAAGCTTTCATCAAAATGGTACGACAGATCGACCAGTCAATTTCAAAGAATGCAAATTGATCACTGACATTTTAGGACAGTGTAACAGGTAGGTAGAGCATACTGAAGATCCCACACTGCACCTACGGTACATGGAAGGAGCTCACAAAGACATGTAGTGAGATTGAGACTACTTGTCGCGAGATTACCGAGTAAAATTATTTAAAAAATCCAATGCTCGTTCACAGTATGAAAACATTCAAAGACAATTGCGAGTCCGGATAAAATAATGATCAAAAAGGAGATGAGAGAATATCAGACTTTAGAAGTGAGGTGAGAAATTTTTCGATTACTTTCACCCTAACTTTCTTCTTATTATTGGTTAGAATATTTAACGAAATCCAGTGATATTTTTTTCGGCTGCTATGTTGCAAGGTGATCAGATTCATGTTTCTCACTTAAGCTTGTTTTTTAAATGTTTTGCAGTTACTTGTTATCAAATAGTCTACGGTTAATTTCTAAACGCTTGTTTGTGAGAAGTTGAATATCGAAGCATAAGAGATGCTTTGTGTTCAACACATATGATAAGATATGAAGCAATGTACGCTGATGACAGGAGGAATTAAAGTAACAAAGATTAGTATCAAAGACTAAGTATGCTTGTGCACAGTATTGAGGTCATTTAAAGATTTGAAGGAATATAGATAAGGTTCGAAAATGAAAATATGATTTTCATGTACGTATAATGAGAATTATTTTAGCAACGTTTGCAAAGCAATGTAAAATATACTTCTATTATAACACTACTTTTCGTCAAGGTTATGAGCTTAGTAGAAATGTAACAAGTTGCTACTAGCAACAGAGAATGCAGATCTGATGAATTAACTTTCAACTTAGCTCCTGAAACATTGTATTTATCATTATCAGTTTTATTGGTAGACTTTTTAAAAAATATTTAACAAAGGGCTTATTACAAATAAATCCAAAACGAAATGCAACTAAATGAAGCAGTACTGGTTTTCAATTCGTCTGATGATTTCGAAATCATTTTGAGTAATCTAAACAAAATAAGCTGCATAATTTCCGAACTTTATTATGATAATATCAACGATCGGATATCAGCCATTGAGTTTTCAAATGAACTGCTTTGCTGAGAAGCTTATTTGAAGGTAAAAGTGTTTTGGTCACACAAATATTTCAAAATCCTAATAAATGTGATATGTTCATAGATTAGTATCCTTACATTTTCAAACCTTTAGATCATATGCTTTCTTCACACTGTTTAACACTATGATCACCAAATATATTTTTAAAAATTGTTTATATTACGATATTATACGGATCTGGATTTTTATGATCTAGCTGAATAAGATACCACTGACAAGATTAGGTTATCCATAGATTCTAGATTGTGGGAGGTAATGAACCGAAAATTGTGCTGTGGAAGAAATGATCTCGAAAAGTACCATTTGACCTTTCAATTATTTCGTCAGAATATCATTCGAATGATCATTTAGAATCTTATGTCAAGTATGGTAGGCTTCAAACAATGTTTAAACAACCTCGTTTATTCTTGATTTCATGTGAACACTGACTTTGTTATTCTGATATTGGGAGCTTGTTTGAAATGCTTTTTGTAAGATTGTTTGCTGTAGTTTAGTGTACTTCATTTATAAGTCATTGAATTTAACATGAACTAACGTTGAGAATCATCGAATCGGTTCTAAATTAAGACCTTATTAGTCAACTAACTGATTGAGAATTACCAATGATTTGTTTCGTTTTAAAGCCACAACTACTGAAGTGCCATGGAACAACTTACCATATATTTTGCTGTTCATCCATTGAAGAAAATCTGGTCACTATTCCGAAATTTCCCAGACACTTAGACTGATATCAGAAGAGCTCTAACAAAACTATGCAGCATTCTGCTCTGAAACCAAACTATTTTGAATTCTGTATGCCTTTATAATTTCTAAATACATGTAGAAACAATGAGCTAATTTTAGCTGTTCTTAAATTCAAAATGGGTTTTTTTTAAAAAAAAAGTATGAATTTTCACTATAATTGTTACTTTTTCTCAATGATTTTAGTAATAAATTAAATTTCACTTGTTTACAGACTGGTTTAGGTGTTGTGTTCTGAATGAAATAATATGCTGTAAACAACATTTTACTTGTACATTAGACATGTACTTCTAATAGTTGTAATTTCAACCTTGTAAAAATGAATGAGGTTAATTATAGAAAAGAATTGGTTACCAGTTATTTTTCCGGAATCGTTTATTTGTTTGTGTTTTAGTTTAAGGCATTCAACTTGTTTGTCTAAATATGCATGATGAATTCACCCTGAACCACTGGTGTTTTGTTTTTTTTCATTCATATTTGTTTGCAAACATCATCACTTTCATGGTTGTGTTGAGATAAAATCAAAATTATTATTATCAAATGGTGCATGTGTTTTTACATCGAAAATGATTTAAATGAAACTGCTTTGTATTTTTTTCTCGATTGCTTATCTTTATTTATTTTCAATTGATGTGCAAATGATTTCATTCTGTTAGATTACCGATCAACAAACATCCTTTAACACTGAGAATGAGGATATTTGTCGTGTATATTATATTCACATTTGAATTAGTTTCAGGTTAGTTAACACTGATGTGTCATTACTTTTGTAAGAAATAAATTTTTGAATTTTATGCATTTCTGTTGTTTCGTATAACTTTAATCAGTGACATTAAATGATTGATGATAGTGTAAGGCTAAGGAGTCATTTTAATGACAATTTTGAGGCCGTCTAAACTGTGAGGATTTTGATAATATGAAGTCAAAGCTTTTTCAGAATTATGTACTATATTCGTCTGATACCTTTCAAACAATCTAATAACACATATGCTTGTTAGAAACATGTTAATTGTAAGATAATAATAATAATATATTTGTCATAATTCAGTGTGTGAAAGTTTAAATTTCTGGCATCTCGTAACTTATGGTAGTCAGCTTCTTCTAAGTAGATAAATAAATGACTAACTTCAGTTACCACAAGTTTAAAAAGAATCATAGGAAAGAAAATAGTGCGAAACTCATCATTCTGAATAATAAACAAATTGTTTAAAATTATTTTACCGTAAGCACAAATTGCTCATGAATTGATGCTATGTAGTCAAATTTCAAATCGTAAATTAATCTTAGCTAACTTACCTACTTACTTACTTACGTCTGTTACCCCCCAATGGAGCATAGGCCGCCCACCAGTTTTCTCCAACCAACTCTCTCCTGGGCTTCCCTCTCTAGTTCTGTCCAATTTTTCTTCATTACTACCATATCTTTCTCCATTTCTCGGCATAATGTGTTCCTTGGCCTTCCTGATTTCCTCCCCCACTGGAATATGGTTTGTTTTCTCCCACAGTACGTTGTTGCTGATCGTGTCTGGCCAACGAATACGAAGTATTTTGTGTAGACAACTGTTCATCAATACTTGTATCTTCTGAATGATGGCTTTGGTAGTTCTTTAAGTTTCCGCTCTATATAGTAGAACTGTCTTGACATTTGTATCGGAAATCCTGATTTTGGTTTTGGTTGAAAGTTGTTTGGAGTTCCAGATATTTTTCAGTTGTAGAAATACAGCCCTTGCTTTGCCGATCCGCGCCCTCACATCTGCATCGGATCCACGTTTCTCGTCGATGAAGCTGCCCAGATATGTAAAGGTGTTAACGTCCTCCAAGGCATCTCCATCAACAGTGATTTAGTTGGTGTATGTTGTGTTGCATTTGAGAATTTTGTTCTTTCCTTTATGTATGTTGAGACATGCTGCTAGACTGGTCTTCTCTTGCATTTGTTGTTGCGTGTGCGATACAAGAGCCAGGTCATCTACGAAGTCCAGATCATCCAGCTGCGTCCTAGCCGTCCATTGAATACAGTGCTTCCCTTCAGATATCGACGTCATCATAATCCAGTCGATCACCAGGTGAAAGAGAAAGGATGAGAGTAAGCAACCTTGCCTGACACCGGTCTTCACCTCGAACGAGTCTGTTATCTGTCCGTCGTGTACGAGTTTGCAGTTGAATCCATCATAAGAATTCTGTACGATGTTAACTATTTTCTCAGGCACACCGTAGTGTCGAAGAAGCCTCCATAGTGTTTCCCTGCCCACAATCTTAGCTAGACCACTATTAATAACCTGGAAGCACTAGACACTCGTTTCTTCCTAGTATAGCATTCTTCATTAGAGATTGTAGAACGTTCCTAGTTGAAATGATGAACTGGTATTTATTAAAGTAAAATAAAAAAGATTGATTTAGCCAAGAGAGCTCTTTTCAGCCAATTCTGTTCCAAGGCTTTACAACTGTAAATATATATTTACATTTCCACATGATAATCAATAAAGGTACAGTGATAATTAAATTTTTTCTTAACATGGTCATAGTTACGCAATTTAGACATTTTATATTATCACACTGAGACTTGAATTTCACAGTATGATCTTTCTACCTATCTTCATGATGAATAATCGAGCTCTCAAAACACAACTTTATCATTGTTTTTTTATCTTAACTAAAATAATGCTTTTTCTCCTTATCTAATTTACCTCACTATTATCAAGTTGAAAGCGACGTTTATCATCATGATTGTTGTCATTGAAATCATGTTGCAAAAATAAAGTATATTATCGCAATTATGCTGCTTATGGACTTTGGATGGATAGTAGAATAAATAATATTTGAACATTTGCTAATCAATAACACTGATAGATTGAAATCTCACACAATATGAATGTTTTCTTTTTTGAATTTCTTCGAAGATATTTGATAAATTAAGTGTTTAACAATTAACATCGTTGACATTGAGATAGTCTTTATTATTTTTATCATTACTATCATTATTATTATTATTATTATTATTATTATTATTATTATTATTATTATAAGATATCAAATATTTGCATATATAAATCCAAATTCAAATTTTATTCCCTTGAAATTTTTAGTTCATAATCTATTCATTCCATTACAAATACAAAAACGTGTAATTAATGGTCAAAAAGCTGATAAATTAGAATATCCATGGGCTGTATCCATTAAAGGTACAAATCCTGTATACAAACAAATCACATATTGTGGTTCAACATTAGTACGAGAACGTTGGTTAATCACTGCAGCTCATTGTTTTTGGGCTGGATCATGGGCAAGATCACAGTAAGAATAAGTTTGAAAACGATTTTTTTTTGATAAACTATTTATTTTCGAATCACGTATGATTATATAAAGTCGTTTGATTTCGACGATTTTCACTTTGATAAATAATCGGACTGATTGATTTAAATGAAGCAGATTAGAAATGCTGTATATGTTGAACAGTTTAAGAGTTGCACTAAACTAATTTGTAGCAAATATGTCAGAATAGTCAGATACATTTTTTTCAGTTTAAGGATAATAAATTTTTTTTGGTCATTCGAGTAAATAAGAAATTCAATGAGAAATATGATAACCAAATCGAACAATTTCCATGAACGTTTGCTTTTAACTGAGGGTTAAATTAACAATATAAGGGTACTACATTATCTACGAGGGCTCAATGTACAGGGATGAACCATTAGTTCGGTAGACTTGGTTACTACTGAGGAGTCTCTGATAATAATATGATAGTTATCCACTTCAGCTTCGTACTTGGTACCTTTCCTATTGGCGTGTAGTATCTATGAATCACAGTCTACATTAACCTTTTATGGTTACTTTCTAACAAATTGAAAGCAGGTAAGAATGTGCACTAGGACTGACAGCTTGAATTTATTGTTTTTACAATCGAAAGCGTTTATTTATATTTTAGCCTTTTGGATCCCAAAAACTGGCATGTTCAAGCTGGGAGTAACATAATTGAAGTAAGTCATTTTTATTGTTATCTATTATTATCAGGTTCTCATAAACAGTGCTGATCAAATGCTTAAGTTCATAGTACTGTCATCAAACTGGGACATAGATATAAAAGGATTTTTTGGTCATCTAAACATAAAGCCGACTATTGTAACAGTGTAGATATTTTTAAGAATATAAAATTCATTGCTTACTTGACGGAGCAACCGTTTCTATTTCTCATACCCTGTAGATGATAGGATTTTCAGCACACAAACAATAAAATTATCTATTCTAGCACAGAAGCTATCGGCATCCGAACCCCAACTTCATGCACAAGAAAAACTTGTCGTTCACTTAATATTGCATCGTCGTTATTTAATCGAAAATGATAATTCCCTTGTTAATCTCTGTTCAGTTTATGATCATTAAAATAACCCTAGTTATTATTTTTCAATAACTTCGTAAAATAATTGACCGTTTGTCAATTCAGACATTCAGTCACTTCCCATGCCCTGTTTAATTGTTATTGCCCCTAAGTGGCATTTTTATCAGCGCTATTATGATTGCTTCACTATTGATTTTTAATAATTGCTCTCATAACTGTATCGTTTTTCTTACCCTCAATCATATTAATTTATGCCTGATTTTTATATCACGTTACTTTATGATCCCTCTCTAGTCTCATCCATTCGCTTAAATACTGAACATATGCAATAATGTAGGCGATAGTTTTTATAAAGTTTTGACAAATCTTTTATTTGATTACTGAAAAAAAGCGATTTATTTTGTATTTTACGTGTAAAATTATAACGTTAAGGCACTTCATATATATTTTGACAAGTTAGTGAGTATGCGGTTGATGCAGAGCAAACTAAACGAAATATCTCTCTACAGTACAGCGTGCCTTACCCTTGCTCTGCAAAAATCAAATTTGTTTTAGATCGCCAATGAGTGGTTAAATCGAATTTCATATAACGATTATGAGTGTTTCTGTTTGCAGTGCTATATAATATCCTGATTTCATAAGGATCCGTTGTTACACTTGCTATCAGACAATAATGAAATGAGTTGAATCAATATTTTTACTTTTGTATACAACAACGAAGAGTTTACATTTTTGTCGGTTGATCACTAATAAATTCTGCAGCAGATAACGTATGAGAATGTAGTAACTAAGACAGAAAAGAAGAATTCTTTTCTGTTCATAGATTATCGAGTTTTGTCAGTTTTCCCTCAATTATTGAATTTACCCAAGATTTACCTTACATATAAATCTCACGAAAACTAAGGTCTAACAGTTACTTTAGTGTGTCAATTTGTAAACTTCCTCTTCTGAATATCTTCGGCACCAATTGAGCACGAATGTTAGGTATATATATATATGTAATTTCAAACTCTGCAGAAAAAACCTAATCATCACAAATTTATTTCTGTACAGATTAGATTGATTTTCCGGGGAAGCAATAGATTCTAACATTACTGTGAATTAAATGAAACTAGGTCAAATTGACATAACCATTTGGACAATCAAAAAATTTTCTGTGTACAGATTTGGTGAATACAGTGAAATATAATTTCTACTTCCATTTTTAGTTGGGCGAAGAACATGGATATAGAGGACATGTACTAAAACCAGGCATAAGTGGACGTCATTCTCTTGTCGCTACGTTAATCAAAAGGTTGATTGATCTTTACTCAAGGCAAGTTTGGATTTTTTCATCAGTTTTAGTGACAAAAGTCACTTACTGAAATAACATCAATGCATTTTATTACAAACTATAATAGTTACACTACTACATATATTCACATTTCAAAATGTATGGGTATTTGTACGGCCCGTTCAATCAGTTTATTTATCTAACAACTCCAAATATTTATCCTTGTATTTGTAAGAATGTAAATCGGTTTATTTATAAGTGAACTCATCACATTCATACTTGTTCTTTATCGATTAGCGATGAGGCATAATTGACTAATATAAATTATTGAATGTAATTAGATCATCAAAAAAATGTGACCTAAATAAAGACTAAGCAGCTATTTTACGCACCATGGAATTTCGCGTTTTGATTGTTTTCAAATACTTATCCTCTTATTAAATAGAATCAAATCGTAGCAACTAACTTATTACTTGAAGATTTATTGAAAAGATCTTATGTATTTTTACAGTCCTATAATTGGATTCATGATAGGCTTCTTCTGTGCAATGCAATTGTCTGACAATTATCGAAATGTTTTAATTTGTTGATTGAAAGATTAACTCGGTATAGAATATATATATATATATATATATATATATATATATATATATATATATATATATATATATATGAATGTGGAATATTCTTCATAATTGTCTCACCACAGTCTCTGGTGTTATATATCTGAACTAATGGTTCAAAATACCACCCAAGTCGACTGTAAATACACTGTTTAGAATTAAAGTATAGATATTCAGGATGGATTGTAAAATAAATTAAAATTGCTAATGTTGACATGACCATTTTACGTTGTTAACTTGAATTGGTTTATATGTTTAATAGAAAATTGAGTAACATTGACATAATTATCAATCATTCCACTTATTCGATACAAGACTACATTGTGCATGAAGTGATAGAAATATAATAAGTGCTAACTTAATCATATATATGGAAGATTAATAATAACAAAAATAAAGTTTACGTACTGATCTCAAAGTTACAAATGGATATTTTGTTAAGTCTTTTGCAACGTGATCACCTGCTTGAATAGTAAATTAGTTTAAGTGACATTAAGTTAAGTGACATGGGTCTTCAGAAAAACAGAAACTGGACAATTATCTTTCATACTTCCGACTAGTAAATCATTTTCATACTTATTTTGTTCTCTAATCACATAACCTTATTCGTTCATCTATATTGACTTCATTTAAAATCGATTACTGATGAAAATTGTATTGAATTTCTGAATAAATGGTTCTTTCACTTCGGAAATAATTCAGTTTATCATGTTTTGCCTTGCACGTGATAGAAAATGTTGTTTTTGTGCAATATTGATTGACTTTTGTCCGACTTTATGTTAAACATGTTGTATACTAAAATTTTATGTCTATGGATGTTTTAAAAATACTAAGTTGTTTAAAAATCACTGTATATTTATCGAATAAATGATTGCTTAACAACAGAAAGCTTAGATAATTAAAATACTGAATACAGAAGTTTCGAAGAGTCTGTATAATCTACATCTGGATTTCACTGTTTCCGTCAATGGTCGGTGATAACATTTTATTGATTTAAAGCCTTGTTGTTTTTTATGGTAGCCAATATTTTATGGATCAATAAATGCAGGTTATGCTAAGTTCTAGAACAAAATACATTCATGTTAATTAGTCATGCAGTTTTTTACATAACTGAAATTATTCTCTCTAAAATTTCATATATTTGGCATTTGATCCAATAGTAATTCAAAAGATAAGCAAGGAGCAGTTTGGCATACACATTTAAAACAAATTATACTTCATCCAAATTACAGACCAGGTAAGTACTAAAAACAATAGACAATGGGTAAGCAGAACATTTTATTTCCTAAAATCATTAACAATTATTTGTTGTTTTGTTTGATGTTGTTAAGTAGTTTTAAGTTGCATTCTAATTAATACCAACAAATGTATTCTTGATAAAATATGTACTCGTCTAGCAAACGATTAAAGTATCAGCTCTGATGATTATCATACCGATGTGAAGAATGAAACACCTGGTCGCATAAAACGATGATCAATGACGATATGCCCATAGATATTTAGCAATTGCAAATGCACACATATATCTGGGTGAAAACATGTTTTACCATGTCATTTACTGCAAGTTATAAAATGCAACTTTTTAGCTTAACGTGAATCAATATAAGTATTTTTCTGTGGGGAAAATGAGGTTCCTTACACAAGCAAATAAAAAGAAAAGTGTTTTGGAATGTTTCACCGTAGGTTAATATTTCAAAAATGATTCCCGTTAATCTCCAAAATCTTTGTGTGTAGGTTTTCGACTAAGTCTCAAATCTAATCAGTTTGATAGTTTCCTATTCCCTCTAATCAGTTAAAACATAATCAGTAATCAAACAAAAGCTTCACTTTCTCAAAAATTCCAAATCATAGTTTTCAGTTAGCTGACTTTTGCTTCTCAAACAAAAACAGTCAATCTATAAAATCTGTTGGCTGACAAGATAAGGTAGTGAAGCAATGTGCTTCTACATTGCTAACATTAAATGAGAAATTATTTATTGTGTAGTGGTTTGTAGATGATAACTCTTATTTTAAATAGTTGATAGAGAAACTATAAAATTTATTAGTTTAGGTAAAACATATGCATGTTTGGATGAAATACTAAACGGTTGGTATATATTTTCATTGACTGATGTAATTTATACTAATTCTACTGTTAAGTAAGAAAGTATTCCTTCATTTACCTAGTCATTGTCATCTGTAGAATTAGCCATAAGTAACTCCAAGAATTGTACATCTTTATTATATTAAATGTCTTCAAAATCGCTTAAGCTTTTGCGTGTATCACGGACCATGTTTATTGACAATAATATTCATTAAGATGGACAGTGAAGTTCAAGTTACAATTTATACTGTATTTTGGTAGAACAGTGAGAAGACTTAATTGATCTGAAAAATGTGATGTATTTGCGCTATATACTTCGAACAATCTGGTCACACATATACTTGTCCAGGCGTTTTAGATGAAGATTAATAAAAGGTCAGCAAGATGAGAAATAAAGTTTTTATCACTTTACCATTTAGAGGTGAATCAAATGACAAAGAGCAGCCATAGAGAAAATATACAACGCCGCTAAACTGATTACAATTAGAAAGACTAAGCCCATGATTCCACATAGACCTGAACGTTGTTCGAATGATTACATCACATCGATTTACATGTTTGTACGGACACATACATACATACGCAAAACACATAATTGAGGTAGGGAATTTGATTGACATCACGACAGGCTTCAAACATTGTATGGAATTGTTGAAGGACGAATTTTGAGGTTTATCGAGGAATCCTTGGCTATTTGTAAATTAACCCCCCCCCCTTATGTGTAATTTGTTATAACCCTGAATTTACCCTGACTATCTATAAGCCTAAGTTAATGTGACAGTTTTCCTACCCTTTCTTATTCTTTTCATATTATGTTAATTCTCTCTCTCCTTTATTTACAACTGTCACCTTATGTCCATTAGAACTTTTATCTGATTGGCCTTTTATTGACCATCATGCAAAATGCCTTGACAAGTATATATGTGATCAGATTGTTCTAAGTGTATAGCGAAAATGCATCACATTTTTGCAGATCTATTACGTCTTCTAATTGTTCGAAGAAAATTTATACAAGGGACTAATTGTTTTAAATTATATTTATTATCTTCTCAGATGATCTAGAATATGATTTGGCTTTGTTAGAATTAGAAAACCCATTACCGTTGGAAGATCCAGGAGTTCAATTAGCTGAATTACCACCTGGCGAGGATTATCTAAATTGGCCAGCGGATCATGTTGAATGTATATTTGTTGGATGGGGTTGTCGAGTAAAAAATGGCAAACCATCAGCACAAGCTCAAGCTGTGCATTTAATAACATTAAAAAATAAAGATTGTTCATTAATGTATGGCAATGCAGCAGGTTTAAATGATCATCATGAATTTTGTGCTGGTTATTATCAAGGACGAGTCGGAATATGTTCAGTAAGTTACATAACTCATATTTATTATTCAGCTTAAAATTCAAAACAAAATATTCGAGGTTTTAATTTCAGTAATTTTGTTTAAGAATTTTTCAGGAATCAGATCAGCACTCTTTGTATGAGCATCATAGCTTTAGTTGGTTTTTGTTTGATCAAGTAGTACTTTAAAAGATTGAATTGATTTGACATTACGACAAGAATCGTTAAACATATTTAATGATACATTTTTATGAATAAGTTGTATGAATATCAATTAGTGTATCGTCAAATAAATTTAAAATCAGGACTATAACTTGAACTAACGAGGCAGTAACAGGTTTTAAAAAAAAAACTCGAAATTGAGTTATGTCAAACAAGAAGAGTTAACTGATAGATGACTGAAAGATCACGAAAGATGAAAACCCAAAGAAATAGAAAGTGGGAAATTCTCTTCAAGATGCATATATAGCGCTGATAATATTCAGTGCTTGTGGCATTTTCGACCAGAAGATAAACTGCAAAATATGAATAATAAAAAGAATGTAATCTATTTCCATGTTTTTCACTAGCTGAAAAATGTCTATATTTAGAACAAACACTATTGACAAGGTATTACCCATATCACTGTAGCTGCTTTTCATTCATATGTAAAATTAATCTGAAATGCTAAAATATCCTCTTCAAACAATAAACTTACAAATCGGTTGGCAACAATCACGGGTTGCTATCTAGAAAATATAGATCGTAGCGGAGCTATTGTAAAGTATGGAAAGAATTACTTTGAATTATGAATAGCCGGCTGTCAATAAAATATACATACCTTTACCCTTTTTCCTGTTCAAATGGGATGTCGATTGAAGACACGGCTAAAAAGTGTCTTAACTTTAACAGCAAAGGATTATTTTCTCCAATGAAAATATAAAAACACATTTTTCTAGTTCACAGTCATCAGCGTTTACAAATCACATATCCATTTGATAGTAGGCATATAAGAATGACTGAGAAAATATTTACTATTTATGGTCATATTCAACATATGAAATAAATGTGATCGATAAAGCAAATGAATGGCAAAAAATTAGTTAGTCATTGTTATGATAAGTTCACTAAATGTAACTGTTATATATCAAGTGAGAAACTACTGAAATCTCCAGGTATTGCATAGTTTCGGTGAATATTCCCATGACTAAGTGGCAGTTCGCATGTAAGTCGTTACACTTTCATCTTCATTCCATTTACCGTGTAACATAATTATCACTATCGCTGAGTTATAGTTAGTGTCAAAGGTTAGAAGATCTAAACTAGGAAAAGTAACTATTTACTGTCCAGTGGCCTTAATGACGATTCAGTTTATTTCAGTATGTGTTGCAACATGAAGCGAAATCCAATAAGATCATTAATAAATCACTTAACATCATTGGAAATCTGAAAGTCCTAGTATGGTAATCATCAGCAGTGAAGATTCACGACTACATGAGTGGGAATCGAATTCAGGATGTTCGATACCTCCTAAGAACGCTAAGTCTATTGAGCACGAAGCTGATATCCAACGATGCTTATATCAAACTTTAATCAATCTGTGGTCATACGATATCTTCGGTGGTTAACTGCCTCACACATCATGGCTGAAATTCACTGTTCGACAATGTTCACTAAAACTGAAAAGATCTCAACCATGTTAGTCACTAGTGAGCACATGATGATTGTCATTATAATGTCGTAAAGACTGTTGAGTTTCACTGAATTCATAAACCCATCAATGTTAGGCGATCTTTGAAAACTTATATTGACAAGTACATTGTTTCTATAAACCTACCTAATTAAAAAGTCCTCATTATCTTTTTGAATGAAGAAGGCCAAATTCTTTCTCTTTTGCAGGGAGATAGTGGAAGTGGTTTGATTTACAAAACAGGTAACAAAAACTACGTTGTTGGTGTAGCTTCAGCGACACATGCCACAGCACCGGAGCTTTATCCAGGATTATTCACGAGGGTTTCATATTTTAGAAATTGGATCGATGAAGTGATAGATGGACCGGTTTCTAAAAACTCAACTAGTTCAAATTAATGAAGTATACATTTAACCGTATTTGTTATATTATCAATATGCTTCATGGTTTCAGTCAGTCTATTTGAATACCAAACTACATTAAAGTGGTATTGCACTTGTTTCATGTTGATTCATTTTATTTTTCATTACGTGTAATGCATATTCTGTAATAACACACTCAATAAATTTTTGAAAACTTAACTTTATAAATCATTTTGCTCACTAATAAAAATAGGTTTCAAAAGAATATAACAGTACATCTAACCTTAATTAATTTAAACAGACACTTTTTCTGGAGATATTTTCATTTTAATCTATGCAGCGAATATTGACTTATGTTTCAATGGAGGTATTTCACTTTTCCACAAACAGTCAAACTTAATCAAGTGTGTATTTTAAAGAATTTCGAAACAAAACATTGATGTGATTGAAAACGTTTTCATTAAGGAGAATAATCAATACAGAAAATTTATGTTCGACGAATTTTGTAAAAACGAATGTTAAACAAGTATTTAAGCAGTCATGTACTGGAGATAATTTGCATTTTCTCTGGATAACGATGACGTTTGATGAACCAGGGCTAAAATGTATTTTATCTAAAACTTTTAGAGCATAAATATACTATAAGCCACTTGTACATTATCTATAAAGTCTTAAAATGCATTTTCATCACCTGCTAATAGATACTTTACGAAAATGATATGATTTTATTACAAAATGTGATATTTGGGCTACAAGAGTGATTGAAAAATAATAAGCTTTTATAAGGCTTATGAGACTTCACCTATGAGAAAATAAAATCTAACGTAACAAGTGACACTGGTTATTCGAATACTTTTTGCTCAAAGTGACTGAATAGAAGATATATCAATCAATCACTTAGTCAGTATTCGTTTCACAGAGAGTAAATCAATAAAAATCTCTTTTCAAAATGATATTGAACTTGTGCATAATTACATCAGTCAGATAGCATGTTGCAAGTTATAATAACTTGATAGGATTCGAAATGTTTCATAGTTGTGCTTCAGAATCCTCATAAGTTCTATGTTGATACACTGTCTAAAAGTTAGTCATCAATGTGATACTTATATTTCTGAAGTAATCAGTAAATCAGCAAGATTTTAATCAATTAGAATTTATCTTTTCAATCCCATGATCGTTATCTAACTGAATAAAAAGCATCCTGAATTTGATGCCTTGTGCAAAAACTAACTGCCTTAGTTTACATTTAGGAAAAAGTTGGAAGAAAGTAAGATTAACCCAGACTGTCAGCGCAATGGTACCACTAACTAATCTAAAAGAAGTTCTTAAATATCAACAAGCTAAATGCACTTTAACAGGTTTGTTTTTAGCTAATCACTATTAAGATTTTTATTATCGTAAGTTGTCGAACTTGCTCTAAATGTTCCTGGCCAATGAAGAACAAGAATAACGAGTAGCCCAGTTCCTAAACTATTCTGAATGCAGGATATCATGAGGATATTACGATACCCTCTAAAATTATTAGCAAATAGACAAACACTAGTCATTATACATAATCTGAAGCTATTTATGGCAAGCAATAAAGTTTTCCGATCTCGTTGTTCATGTGATTAGACTTCATTTTAGTTTATAAACAGTCAAATGAATTCAGAATGCATTACTTTAGGTTAACAAACCATACCTCACTCAATTCGTATCAAACTTTTGTGTTTATCTGAAGTTTGAAGCATTGTAGTGCCTCCATGTATATTCGAGTTCGCTTACATTCAATTCGGTTAAGCCCTTTCGATTAATTTATTTAACCAAGACATTTGTATAACAATAACTTGCATGTACCATTGGCTTTTATTATTGTGTGGTTTGTATGAGCTGGTATGGCTGAGCACCGCTTAACGCCTATGCGCATTACATCCTATTCGCCTTAATATATTGATCTCTTAAATATCACAATGACTCAGACATTTTCCTATGTATATATACCACAGTATGATCACTTAATTGCTCATTTTCAAATTAACCATTCACAAGAATTTGATTACAGTTAACCAATAATCGAAAATAATTGTCTTCATCTAATGACTTCATGGATTTTTGTAACTGAATATATGTCTGCGGCATTGACCAAATTGTACCAAGACTATAGGCATGTTAACAATATCATATGACAGATTAAGCAATAAATCACGCACAAAACAAAGAGATAAGATTACAATCGATTCAATCAATTAAAATTATTGTGCAAGAAATTACAGGATGCATTGTGAATAAAAATCTAAAGGAGACAAATTTCAACAAACATAAATATAGGCTGATTACCTATCTGGTTATGTGATGTGAAGTGTAGTCAGTAACTCTTAAGCTTTCTTGAAGTGTATTTTTTTCAATTTGTTTTCATTGAATATCAGTTACATTGATAGTTAGAAACTATTTAGATTGAAGATTATTCCGTTAACTCATGTTAGTAAATAGCTTCATTGAACAGATTGTCGACAAACTGATGAAAAATAAACTCTGTCATTCACTAACTATCAGTGAAAGTAAATGAAGCCATTAAGTTATCTACTCACTACCTGCACACATATAGAAGATTTTTCTTTTTCTTATATTCTAGATAATATCTTACATTTATTGACTTCTTAAGAAGGAATAAAAATGACCTCAAAATTTAACCTACAGTTTTTTTTAAAAAGTTTCTTGTTCCTTATTTGTCTGACCTATCAGTTATCATTTAAAATTCATACATTCTAACTCAAATAAATTTATAACTCATAATATTTTCCAGTTCAAAATGTTTCATCATTTAGTATATTGAAAATGATTTGAATATAACTAAATCAAAAGTCATATTTTGATCAAAGAAATTTTATTAACAAATTTATTTACTCATTTTTTAAACAAATTACATGGTGTTTAGACATAGTACAAAAATGCCACTGTATTTTTTTTCTTGCATTTGAATGAAAAAACGGTTAAATCATACGATTTAACAATTCATTTAAACATTATTGTATGCTAACTAGTACATATTTGAATTGAACTACAAGTTTTTTTTTTTTCTGCGGGATTTGTTAATCATATCTTCTTCTAACCGGATTTGAAGAGAAGGAATGCTCGTTCTTGTAAATAGAAGTAGATGAAATGTTGTGTTTCATGTGTTACATAACTGAAATTAAAGTTAAAAATAAATTAGAACAAAGTATTGTCTAATAATTTGTTAAAACTTTACTGGTTGTATATTATCAGCTTACATGCCTCAAAAACTTAAATTAACAAAATAATAATTATAAATGAATTCTAAGCATGTGAACAGTTTCACATCTGAATAGACATGTTATTCCATGCTAACGAATTTACAATACATAAAATTATCACTCTATTTTAAATGAAAAGACATTAATCTGTGAATAAATGGTTTCGGTGATACAACTTACCTGCCAAAATGTTTTCCTACAATACAATGCCAATTCGGATTATATTTACGATCAAATTCTTTTTTTACATAAGCAGCAATATCTTTTTCAATCTCATATTTATCAAGTGCAGCAGCGGCTGTGTGTACAGCACTTTCTTGCATTTCTTCATGCATATCGGCATTCTTTATTACAGCTTTTCGTTCACCCATTTTACTCTGTTAATCGGTATAAACACTGAGTCAAGTATTCTATCCAAATATTCGGTACTTTTATACCATTAACAAATTTACGTAACCGATCATAGCACTAATTTCATTCGTAGATTCATGTTTTAGTAGATTGGCTTCAATTCACCTGACTGTATAGATGAGAAGAAAAAAAAAACCAGTAATGTTATTCTGAAAATTCGTTTACATGTAGCATTGTTATGATATAAAAATTGGATGACAAATAAAACTAGCACAAAATATTATTCTTCTTAAATGTAGTTCGAAAATTATTTGTGTATCTTTTTGCTAAATTGCTCAATTTTCTCTGAGTTGTTTTTTCTTTTATGTAATTTATTATTGTTTGTTTATTCTTATTTGTCTTGTTTACTCACGATTGAATGAAACTATGCGGATTATCGTTGAGTGACTGTGAATATATGCCTTTTCGAGTGTACATTCATGTGAAACACAGAACAAAGTTAATATACTTACTATATTATATATATAAATATGAATGAATGAAGAAAAATGTGTAGTTATTTAAATTAAACAAAATTAAAATTACATTTTTAAAAGATTAAAAGATATTGATTATGAATTTAGTTCATTGACTGTGTATTCTGGGAGAATTTTTGTTCAGTTATGCATCATTCCATCAAAAAATAACATGGCAAGATCATAATCTACGCATTATTGAATGATATGTGAGGTCGGAAAAGTTGTTGTTTAGTTGATGAGATGATGTAAATAATTTTCCTGTTTTCATGCATCGTTTAATCATTATTTTTGACTGACAATGTATATTTCGTGAGAAAAATATATAGAATAACTAATTTCTGTAAAATTGGGTTTTCAGTTACAGCTTTGGAGATTAATGTTTTTTTGCACATTTGAAATCATCAATCACTGTTACACCACCATTAGAAACCTGGAAGCAGTGGACGGCCGTTTCGTCCTGGTATGGGACTCATCAGCGATGCGCATCCACGACTCCTGCACCTCGCAGGATTCGAACCCAGGACCCTTGGTATTGTGCGCGAACGACTAACCATCGGACCATTTGGCCGGCATCCAACGGTGTTACTGGCTATCTCTGATTGATCTAGGGGTTTTGCGCGACCTCACCCACTTGTCTTTGGCACTTACTGCCTACACTCGACAGGGTTGAACTCCATTGGCCACGTCTTCTCAACTAGAACTCCGAGAATTTCCTCACGAAGCTAGTCACAAGTTACGATATTCTCCGGGTTCGAATCCTGCTAGGTGCAGGTGTTGTGGGTGCGCACTACTGATGAGTCCCATACCAGGACGAAACGGCCGTCCAGTGCTTCCAGGTTTCTAACGGTGGTCTAACAATGACTGATTGATGATTTCGAATGTGTAAAAAGATTGGGTTTGTAAGACACTACTGCATCGTTAACAAAATACAAATCGAAGTTACATTCTGTTAAATTTCGTTGTCGTAGCCATAGGGTGTTGCGAAATTATGTTTATCTTGAATTCATTCTAGTAATTTTATATGGTTTTATGCTCGACGAACATCTATTTTTTGGAAATAACGATGAAATATTTACTTAGTGCTGTTTAGTTTACAAAGATCTGGTAGTCTAAGAAAGTTTATGATGAAACCAATCTTTAAAATAGACAAAACCTTTACAAACTGAATATTTTAATTTTGGTAAATAAGTTGGTTGTATTTTTTTACTTAACATAAATGCATAAAATCATCATAACCCCAACTGTTTATGAATAAGTTCATGACTTAGTCATGCATTTCCGTACACATATGTAAAGCCTCTATCAAAGCTAAATTAACAGATCAATAAACTTAGTACGATTAATCAAAAGAATAATATTACAATCTCCAACTCTTTACAAAGAATTCCAAACTATTCAAAGTCCATTTATGTTAACATCAAAGTTTTCTCGACATAAACTGTTCATTAATTATACTAAACGTTGATTAAAGATTCAGACTACTTTTTGCTATTTACGTTTCAATTTAAAACAACTTTAGTTTCAGTTTTAGAAGAGAATCCATTGAATAACTCGAATTACTCCATATGAGACCATCTTTGAGAAAGCTATTTTACCCGTAAAAACATGCAATATTACATAAGTTATAACTTTCCTTAACCAGCATCCAGAGTTGTATGAGAATTTTTATTTTAGATAACCTAAAGAGTTTACCATAGGCATCTTTATCTACTTTGTCCAAAATAATACACGGCAGTTAAGAATGAAAATCTATATGGCATATTTAAGATGTAAGCAATTCTCTGTTTACCTATATCAAGCATTTCATATAAACTGGCTCTGCAGTTATATCAAGAGAAGGTTTTATAGCATAGATTTTCTTTTTATGCCTGTCTATGATATATTTCCAAGTACTTACACAAGTTGAACATTAACTAATAGATGCGTGTCATTTAAAACGAAGAATATGTTATGCTTAGATATATGATTTATTATATTTCCTTATATAAGTTTTAGTGCCTCTAGATCTTTGTCACGGTGTATCTGCAAAATAGAAACCATTTACAGAACTCTTCTAGCAAATGAGTTTTTCAAAGTGCTGTAATCAGTATTATCGACTTTTATTTTGATTGCTGATTTAAGCACTGCTTTCTCTCTACGAGCAGATAAAAGCATAAAAAAGGATAGTTTTGTGGTTTAGTTAAATACATTTTCCCTCAATTATTAGTAGAACATACCTATATATCTAAACAATAATATATCAAAACTTGGCTGACTAGTTTACATATTAAACAGCCCTACATGAAGTTTGAACATTCATTATCTACCTACAACCTATTGAAATTGTTTAACACTAAATGTTTCAAACTTGAATTTAGACTTTCAAAAATATAATAAAGAGTTATGTCAAAGTATCGTCATATGATAATCATATAATTATGATACAAGTAATTTTGTAAGTGCACAGATTAGATCAATAAAAAAAAGATACTACAGATCAGGCGTTTTTCATAAAAGCTAAATGGATGCGAATCCTAACATTGATTAGTAATATTAGTTTCAAGTATTTCTTCTTACATTCTAAAAGATAGAATAATTATACATGAAACTGTATGAATAAGAACTAAACGGACTCTGTTATTCTGTTAAGCTGCCATTAAAAACCATTAATAGTGAAATATTTATAGATTGATTTTGGATTCACTCATTTGTAAATAAAAGATAAAAAACCTCAAGTTAGAGCTCAGCAGAGCAAATGATAATCACATTTTCGATGAAATCTATTTTTTTTTCTTGAATTTTAAACAGTACATTTTGTTTAAATAAATAATATGTGAAATTGTACTCGATTAGATGAATATTGTGAATAGTCTACTAATAGAATATCTTATATATTTCTTCATAAAAAATGAGTTAAATGAAGATATTTTCTTAAAACTAGTATGACTATTAATCATACTTGTAATGACATGAATGCTCAAAGAAATCATTATAAGTTAAGTATATGCATTTGAACATTTTTTTTTTGACTTCAAAACGTTATAATTCCGCACTGAATACTTTTATTTCAAGTTCATTTCGATAATGTTCGTTTATTTGTTAACTAAGTCATAATGTTTAGTAATCAATTTTATATACGTTGAAGTACCATTGTTGGCTTTTTATATAATGAACTAAATAAAAGAATGATCATTTATTTATTTATTATATTTAATTGTAAGAATTTTTAAGTATTGCTATATTTTCTCTTTGTTTCGATAAATTGTAGAATTTAATGAAATTCTACATTATTCAACTATTCTTATAAAACCATTTTGAAGGATATATATACTTTTTATTTGACGCGTATTTGCTTCAACTTTGCTTTGAAATTCCACTCTCTGAAAAAGTCCCTTTGAAATTACCAAAAAATAACTGTGAAAATCAGGTATTTGCTACTCATAAGTAGTTTTGTGTGTTTTTACTTCAAATTGGTTTGATTGTTGTATGATTAAATTATATACTATGTATTTCCATTAGTACTTATTGAAAAAAATGATAGGAAGATTTATATCACAAAGTGGAATTATCAAAAGTCATTGTCTTGCATCAGCTAATCGGAAATTGGATTAATACTATGTGAAAATAATTCATCTATACTAGTCTAATCCGTTTACTTGATTTCCTATAAAATTAAATCTATCATGAGAAAACTGTGGGACAGGAAAAAAAATGGATTTCTGTCAAGGATGAACAAACGATAAGAAACTTGTGACTTCAGAATCATTACTTTTTGCTGAAATCTAGTATCTCATGATCGTATCGGTATCATCTTCCGATACGACTTATTAGAGAATCAACATATAAACTTGTACGAAGTATAAAAACTTACTATAATAGAATGAACTATTTACCTAACAAAATTACAGCCAAACATCGAAGCCTAATTAACTGGAGACATGGTATACAGATTTGGAATCAGCAGTGCTATTCAAATCATTATAAGTGTTGTAACAGGTGCGATAAATATGTTATTAGTGTATTACATAGTTCCAGTCACTTGAACAAGTAAGAGTTGTATATAAGTACATATCTAGCCATACTTTGTAATAATGAGGATAAGACATTTAATTGAACACATTTTCAAACAATTTACTATGACTTTCTCAGTTAACATAATAGTCTATAAAGGGACAAACTCAACATAAAATTCTTTAACGTATTCCCATGCATCACAGCACTGTACGATCTCTCCTTTTTTATTGATCAGATTTCATTTACAGAAATTATTTTACTTTGTTGGAATTGACAAAGGTATTATGACAAAGCAAAGGAAATGTTTTGAGTTACATTTATCAGTCAACGTCATAGTTTAGGTGTTACAAATATTCTTAATGAACGTTGAATATGATCGCCAGTCCTTTAATTCAGAGAGCTAAAGTTGATCTTGCAAACCTCAAACTAGATTTCTATGAGCCCTTGTAGCAAACACTATGAATTTAACTAATATAATATAAAATGTATAGTATATGTATGTATGTATGTATAGTATAATGTTTTGTTAACTTTAATCTCC